ACGAGGCGGGTTACGGTTGCACGATGCCGGACGAGTCACCACTCTGTGCCATGCTTTGAATTCTGCTTCTCGCCTTTGCTGCCTTTTTATACGCTAATTCTGCCCCTAATCGACAATGATTTGGTGTTGGAATGTTTGCCGACTAAGAATCGGCGCGTGAGTGACCCCAAGCCTGCTTGCCCAGGAGCTGGGTTCGAGTCTTACACGCCAGCGGCCCTCGCTTCTTTCACTCCGCCCTTCCCCTCGCTGCGCTCCGCGGGCGATCTCCCCTTCCATGCGCAGGCCGCCGATCAGTCAGCGCAGCTGGCGGCGGATCTGGCGGGCAACGGGTGGCGCAGCACGCGGCGCACGAAGCTGGTGTGCACCATCGGGCCGGCGTGCTGCGGCTTCGAGCAGATAGCGGCGCTGGCGGAGGGCGGCATGAACGTGGCGCGCATCAACATGTGCCACGGCACGCACGCGTGGCACCGGTACGTCACGGCACGCACTCGCGGCACCGGTACGTCACGGCACGCACGCATGGCACCTGTTGGAGTCATGGCAGGGGCGGGGGTTGAGTGGCATGGGTAGGGCATGGCGGATGGCTCGGGTAGGACTCACTGGCGCGGGTGGAGCGATCGGTGATGCAGGGGGCCGCGGGCACATGGTCCTCTGCAACCGGCGGGCCCTTTTATTCTCTCGCAAGAGCCTCGCTTCCCCCCCCTCCCCTCCCCCTCCCCCCCCCCTCGCCATGCCCGTCTGCCTCCCAGCAGCAGCATCACGCATCTCATGGAGTCCCATCGTCGCGTTCCATCGTCCACCATCCATCCACACTCATCCGTGCCCGTGCTACCGCATGCCACTCCTCCCCTCCCTCCATGCGCGCAGGCAGGTGATGGGCGACATCCGGCGGCTGAACGCGGAGCGCGGGTACAGCGTGGCGGTGATGATGGACACGGAGGGCAGCGAGATCCACATGAGCGACCTCCAGGGCGCGCCCTCCGCTAAAGTCGCGGTCAGTCCCACCCCCATGCTTGCCGTGGCGTGGCGTAGCGTAAGGTGGCTTGTTGCGTGGTGGCATGGATGAATGTTGGAAAGGGGTTGGGAATGGGAGGGGCTGTTGTGGGACTAAAGGGCACGGTCGCCCACAGGTCAACAGGCCAGCAGGTCAGCAGTCCCAGCCTGCGGCATCCGCACACCTCTGTCACCTCTCCCTCTCACTGCTCCCACTGTGCCCGCCTCCCTTCTCTCCCTCGCCCCCTTCCCCCACCAGGAGGACGACGTGTGGACGTTCACGGTGCGCAAGTTCCCCGAGGGCATGGCGCTGCCGCCCAACACCGTGCACGTCAACTATGACGGCTTCATTGACGGTGCGTGCCTCGTGTCCTCGTGTGCTCATGGGCTCATGGGCTCACGGGCTCATGGCTCATGTGCTTACGGGCTCATGTGTTGCCTTGCTGACGTGGTGGGGACGCTACTAATTTGTGGAAAGCCTCCCTTTACATCCCCCACCTTCTCTGCTCCGCGCCCCCACCTCCCCATTCTTCCCCATCCCCATCCCTTCCGTCCTCCCCCTCCCCCCTGCCGCTCATCAGACGTGAGGGAGGGAGACGAGGTGGTGGTGGACGGGGGCATGGCGCGCCTGCAGGTGACGGCGCGCATGGGGCCCGATGTGGTGTGCTCCGTGCTGGACCCGGGGCTGCTGCTGCCACGCGCCAACCTCACCCTCTTCCGCGACGGGCAGCTCGTGCGCGCCACCAACGCCATGCTGCCCACCATCTCCTCCAAGGTCAGCCCCTTGTACCGCCATGCACCGCCACGCGCCACCATGCACCGCCATGCACCGCCATGCACCGCCATGCACTGCCATGCACTACCACCCTGCACCACCATGCACCACTCTGCGCCACTCTGCGCCACTCTGCACCACTTTGCACCGCCATGCACCACTATCCACTACCATGCACCATGCATCAGCCCTGCGTCTCGCACCCATCCCCGCAGCCAACACTCATAAACTTCCGAACCCTCGCCCTTCCCCCCCGCCTTTCTGGGCAGGACTGGATAGACATAGACTTTGGAATAGCGGAGGGGGTGGACTTCATAGCCATCTCCTTTGTGCGCTCGCCTGAGGTCGTCACGCACCTCCGCAGCTACGTCAACGCGCGCTCGCCCTCGCGGTAGGTGGTGTGTGGTGGGTGTGGTGCAGGGTTTAGGGTGCTCCTGTCTCGACTCCGTTGCAACTCACTCACCCGCACCTCTCGCATCCACCTGTGCGCCGCCTTCCTCCTGGGTACCTGCCACCGTTGACATCACAACGTGTGGCTCCCCACCACCTCACTTCGTCTCTGAACTTCTCCCATCACCCCACCCTCCCCCCTACTCCTCCCTCCCCCCCCCCCAGCCCGATAGCGCTGATAGCGAAGATAGAGAGTGTGGAGGCGGTGGGGCGGCTGGAGGAGATCATAGCAGCCTCGGACGGGGCCATGGTGGCGCGGGGCGACCTGGGCGCGCAGGTGCCGCTGGAGGAGGTGCCGGGCGTGCAGCAGGAGATGGTGGACATCTGCCGCGCCCTCAACAAGCCTGTCATCGTCGCCTCGCACCTCCTCGAGTCCATGATCGAGTTTCCCATCCCCACCCGCGCTGAGGTGTGATCGAGTTCCCCATCCCCACCCGCGCTGAGGTGTGATCGAATTCCCCATCCCCACCCGCGCTGAGGTGCGCCCAACGCCCCGCTCCGCACAGCATGCATGCATACAGCCAGCTTCCAATGTGCCGTATTAAACAACAAGTCCTCGTGAAGGCATGGTTGCCTCGTGAAGGTGGCACTTGAGTGGTGCTCACTTGCACCCCTAAGATGAATTGTTGGCGCTGTTGGGACGGAAGGCATCTCTACACCCCCCCCTGACTAATTCACTTCCCATCTGCTCTCCTCTCCCCCCCAACACCCCCCCCCACCCCTCTGCAGGTGGCGGACACGGCAGAGGCGGTGTACCAGCAGGCGGACGCGCTGATGCTGTCGGGGGAGTCGGCCATGGGGCAGTTCCCTCTTAAAGCCCTGGATGTGCTGCGCACCGTGGCGCTGCGCTTCGAAGCCATCGAGGAGGGGCACGGCGCATACAGAGAGGGCCCGGGCGCTGCGGCCACGGACGGGCACACGGCGGTGGAGCGCGTGGCTCTGCTGCCGGAGCTGTCCCACTCGCTGAGGGACCGCATGTCGGAGCAGATCTGCGCTGCTGCCGCCCAGATGGGTGCGTGTGGCCTGACTGGCCTGTGTGATGCCGAGCACAGGGGGTGATTGGTGATTGCTGGCATGGAGGGTGCATGAGTTGTGAGTTCAGGCATGCAGTGAGCTGCACTTTCATCCCGCACGCATCCAGAACTCCGCCTCCTGCTGCCTTCGCCTCCACTCCCTTCTCATTTGCTTCTCATTTGCTGCTGCCTTCGCCTCCTCTCCCTTCTCATTTGCTTCTCATTTGCTGCTGCCTTCGCCTCCTCTCCCTTCTCATTTGCTTCTCATTTGCTGCTGCTTCGCCTCCTCTCCCTTCTCATTTGCTTCTCATTTGCTGCTGCCTTCGCCTCCTCTCGCCATTCTCCCCCTCCCCATGCCCACCGTGTGCAGCCATGCGTCTGGGGGCAAAGGCAATAATCGCCTTCACCCAAAGGGGCTACATGGCATCGTTGCTCTCCCGCTGCCGCCCCAACTGCCCCATCTTTGCCGTCACGCCCTCCCAGGTACGCCCTCCCAGGTACGCCCTCCCAGGTACTCCCTACCCCTGTTGCACAGTACCTTGTATAGATGCCTTGCAATGTCCTCTAGCCAACTTCCACCTGCCTCGTTTCCCTGCCGGGCTCATCTCCTTCATCTTCCCGCTCACCCTCCCTGGCCCTGTCCTGCCCATCCCCTCACACCCCCCCTGTAGGCGGTGCGGCAGAACATGAGTGTGTACTGGGGCCTCGTGCCATTCCGCCTGGACCTTTCAGACGACGCCGAGGACAACATGAGGCGCGCCTTCGCCGTGCTCAAGGTGGGTGGGGCAGAGGGGCAGGGCAGGCGGTGAGGTGTGCGAGCGTGAGGTCTACATGATCCACGGGATGGCCCTGCCTTCACACGGCAGGTCTGAATCTGTTGTGCCAAACGAATTGCAGAAATTGAGTCCAGCACTCTATGGTCCTTCCACTCCACCTCCCTCTCTGCCTCGCACTTCCCTCCCCTCCTCCCTCCTCTCTGCCACTCCTAACCTCTCCATCTCACCGCACCACACAGTTCCCCCTCTCTCAACCGCTCCCCATCCCTTGTGTACAACCCCTCGCGCCCCCCCCCATCCTAACGCGTGCCGCTCCCCCCTGCAGGCGAGGGGGCTGGTGGCAGAGGGGGATCTCATCATCGCCGTGTCTGACGTGGCGGGCGGGCAGGAGGCCGTGGGGGCCAGGCAGAGCGTGCAGGTCCGGAGGGTGCTGTGAGGCGCTGTGAGGTGCTGAGAGGTTCTGAGGAATGCTGTGTTGCATGCTGCATGCTGCAGCAGGGAGGGCAGGGAGGCGAAGGCAGCATGCGTGGCTGTGTGCAGCTGCTGCCTGCTGTTGCTCTCCCACACTCCACCAGAGGCTGCTGTCGGCTCTAGGCTGACGGCATATTGCTGCACCGCTGGCCATCTGCCTGTATGGGTTCCATGGCCTGCACTGCAATGCAACTTAAATAATGGTGGAAACAGATTTGTTTTGTTTGTTAGCATATGCTTCAAAGCATATTGCCTGTAGCAGTACGTAGGTTGTGTTAGGTGAAACTGCTAAAATTTCTATATTATCAATATCCTAGTTCCGAATCCATCAGTAGTTCCAGAGATCATTCTGTTTGATGTTGTAGCATACAAGTCGAGAAGTTGCAAGAAAATTACTAGAATTTCCACCTTCCCTTGTTCTCCTAAACTTAACTGTTGCTGTGAGTGCCCTCCATGCAGCATTGGGTATTGCAGCACACACTGCTCCCCGTACACTCAACCACTGCTGTACGAAGCACACCCTTAGTGGGATCTGCCAGCGATCCACGCCTCTAGTTGACCTTGGGCTTGATCTTCCTCTTGCGCAGCAGCACGCAGAGCAGCAGCAGCAGCAGCAGCACGGAGAGGCAGCAGAGCAGCGGCAGCAGGCCCCCTCGGCCCACCTGCAGGCGCCGCTGCTTGGTGCAGCGTGCCGGGTGCAGCAGTGCCACCACCTCCCGCACCTCCCCCTCCCACCTGCATGCGCCGTAGGGTGCCGTGGGGTGTGGTGTGGTGTTGCATGGGTTGTGAGCGGAGAGAGAAATCAGAAGGATGACCCTGAAAGTGGGGGCCAGGGCAGGAAATGGGGGAGAGGGAGCAACAGCGCAGCAGAGCACATGGCACACCACACAGGCCAAGCCCATCGCCTCTCCTCACGGCCCCATCACCCACCCCAACACCGCACCTGGCAGCAGCGCTCTCGATGGCGGGCAGCAGGTGCAGCGCGCCCCCATAGTCCATGGCCTCCACTGCTGCCGCCACCCGCCGCCACCCCTCCACCACCGCGTTGTACTGCCCCGCTACCTGCCGCTCCCACCGCTTGAACACCGCATACGTGTCCTCATCTGATTGGATGGAAGGGAGTGGGGGAGTGGGGGAGGGCATAGGGCACGGTGTAACTGAGATGAGAATCGAAAAACGCAGTGGAGAAATGGGTGACACGATGGAAACAGGACGACAGCGAGCGACCGTGTCACTCCACGCAGCACGAGCGCAACGAAGCAACGGTCCCCTGGCAGCACAGCACTAGGCACACGTAACGGGCTGCACCATACAGACCACACACATCCCAGCAGAGGGGTGGCACTCACGGGTGGTCTCAGCAGCGAGGTGTGCAACGGCACGGTTGACAGTGGTTACAGCCTCGTCCAGCGCCGTCACCACCAACGACCGCGCCATGGCATCCCGCTGCACCTCCGACACGTGTGCACTGCTCGCCCCTCCCCCGCCCAGCAGGCCCCCGCCTATGGCTGCCAAGGGATGGCCCCCTGCCGCCCACCGCCAGTCCTGCATGGGTGCAGTGCGGTTGAGAGGCGTGGATTGTGGTAGGGTGAGGTAAGGGGGTCAGGGTAGAGGTGATGAGGTCTCCTGAAACATAACAAGGTACCTGAGCGAATTACCACCTGAAAGCCAGCGCAGAAATCATGTAAGCCACCACAAAATCACCTGAGAGGCAGCACGAAAAATAACCTGAGAGGCAGCACAAGAATCACCTGAGAGGCAGCACAAGAATCACCTGAGAGGCAGCACAAGAATCACCTGAGTGGCAGCACAAGAATCACCTGAGAGGCAGCACAAGAATCACCTGAGAGGCAGCACAAGAATCACCTGAGAGGCAGCACAAGAATCACCTGAGAGGCAGCACAAGAATCACCTGAGAGGCAGCACAAGAATCACCTGAGAGGCAGCAAGGGAATGACCTGAACGACAGCGGAGTGGGCGGCGGAGAAGGAGATGTGAGCTGGCAACAGCCCTGCCAGGTGCTCCATTGTGGCCGCTAGCACTTCTGCCAGGGGGTCACTGGAAGAGGAGACGGGGGGGGGAGAGCGGAGGAGGGCAGGGAGGAGAAGGAGCTGGAATGAGTGTACATAGTAACGAGGAATGGGAGAAACGAAGAATGGGAACAGTACAGCAGAGCACAACACAGCACAGACACACGGGAAACCATGGTCACACAGAACAACCCACAGGGGTGCAGCCACACACACCCACCGCAGGTCAGCATGCATCTCTTTGCCGTTGCAGGCGACACCGGTGGGCCAGTGGCGGTGCGGCAGCTGCACTGAGAGCACCATGTCGGGCAGCGACTTGGCGAGCAGCGATTGGTCGATGAGGATGGGGTCGGACGCGATGGCGAAGAAGAACACCGGCACGTCCAGCTGGGCGCGCTCCCCCCGCGTGCGCTTCACTGGGAGATGGGCGTGAGAGGGGGGACCGTGGTGTAGGGGCAGAAAAAGAGTGGATGTAAGAGGGACGCAGTGGGTGTCAGGGGGGTGTGGGGGATGTGTAAGGGGGGATAGGGGAGGCAGGGAGAAAGGAGAAGCGGGCTGCATGCGATATGGGGGAGGAGAAACAAGGAAGGAAGTGAAGCGGGAGGTGGGAAGAGGAGAGAGGAGAGATGACGCGGCAAAGGGGAGGTGGTGTGGCGCCATGCAATGAGGCCCCGCAGCGAGTGACAGCGCCCAGCATCTCCCATCCCTGCCATCTCACATTGCTGCAGGCTGCCATCTCACATTGCTGCAGGCTGCCATCTCACATTGCTGCAGGCTGCCATCTCACATCGCTGCAGGCTGCCATCTCACATCGCTGCAGGCTGCCATCTCACATCGCTGCAGGCTGCCATCTCACATCGCTGCAGGCTGTCGTCCCCCAGCGAGCGCAGCTGGTGCTGCAGCACGTGCGAGTCCAGATACAGCTGCACGCGCCCCCCCGCTGACGCGTTGCCTGCCGCGGACGCGGCGGGCAGCACGGCGGCGCGCAGCGAGGCAGAGAAGGCGGTCGCCAGGGCCGCGTCCTCCGCCACTGACAGCCTGTGGGGGGGAGGGGAAGGGGGAGAGGAGAGGGGAGGTAGGGGGGAATAAGGAAGGGGTGAAGTGAATGGTAGTGGGAGGCACATACAGTGCAGTGAAAATTGACTGGAATGTGAAAAGCCAGATGAAGGGACCCACGAGTTGATCGAAGTAGAGAACAGCAGGCTAAGTTGCACGAGTCTATCCGTCACAAGATAGCAGCAGCCTCGCTTCCACGACCCGCTTCCCGCCCCGCATGCACGCACCTGTAGGTGGAGAAGTGGAAGCGCTGGCCCGGCAGGCACAGCTTCTGCACCTCCGCCTTGAACTCCTCCACGTACTGTGGCGTGTGGCGCCTCTCGTAATACGCCTGGTGGGCGGGGGGGGAAAGGGAGGGGAGATGTGGAGTGAGACAGGACGCCGGGGCAAGGCGGGTGGGAGAGTGGGCATGCAGTGGCTGGTTGGCATGAGGTTGAGCTCGTGATGTGCTCCCATGCAGGCTTGCCAACATGGCCCTTTGCACGCATTTCCACACCACGCCATGCCACGTCACCCCAAACTGCCCCACCTGGTGGGAGATGATGTAGAGGTGGAAGGACACGCGCTCGTAGAAGTGGTACGCGCCAGCAGCCGTGGACGGCGTGATGACGTGGCGCATGGCGGACGCCAGCGTGGCCGCCAGCTCAGCCATGAGCATGTCCCACGCGCGCGTCACTGCAGGGCTGCTCTCCCCCGCCTCGCCCTTGCCCGCATGCCTGTCGGGCGGCACGCTTTGGAACTTCCAGCTGTGCAGGCGCTCCAGTGCCGCCCGCACGCTGCGCCCCGTGAAGACGCTGCCGGCCGTGCCACCGCTGCCGCCCTGCTGCTTGGCGAGGTCGTCCTTCACCTCCTCCAGCTTCTGCTGCAGCTCTGCGCGCAGCACACGTGGGACAGGGCGAGGGCGGCAAGAGGGGTGCAGTGGTGTTGGTGCGCACTGGCAGCGTGGCGGTGCTCTTCGTGCACGCACCCAACATGCAGCACCCAGCCCAAACGACCCCCCCCCCATTGAACGAAGCATCATGCAATGCATGCACGAAAGCAGGACCAGCCACCCCTCGCCCACGCCCACCCACCGCGGCAGAGAGCACTGGGGACGGCGCGGTGAGTGCAGTGGCGGGCGGCGAAGGCGTGGTAGACGTCGAGCTCCGCCAGCAGCACGTCCACCCCGTGCTGCCCCTCCCCCCCCTCGCCCTCCCCCTCCCCCTCCTCCACCGCCTCCAGCCGCTCCTCCGCGATGCGCTCCAGGCGCCCCCTCAGCTCGCCCTCCCATGCCTCTGCACTCAGCACACACGTGGGGTGGTTGAGAAGACAACACGGGCCACAGGGTGAGATGTGAGTGGTGTGCGACGGTGAGGTGAGGCGGGGTGACAGCACGATGGGGTGGAGCGCGGTGCAGGGGGTGCAGGGAGGCGTGAAGGCAGAGACCCGCTTGTGTTGCACATGACCCGTACCGACACATCTGTGCTCGCCCAACCCACCTGTGCGCGCACCCCACCCCACAACACGGACCTGAGGAGGCATTGGAGACGGCGTGAAAGTAGCGGTCCACAGAGGGCAGGCTGGCCTCCGACCTCACTCCCCATGCTGCACTGCCACCCACCCCCACCTCCACCGCCACCACGCTGCTGCTGCTCCACCCACCCCCCATGCCACTGCTGCTGCCGTTCCCCCCTGCCGCACCACCACCGCCACTACTGCCAGCAGCAGCAGTGTTGCGCAGTGTAGTGGGGGGCCCAGCAGCAGCAGCAGCAGCAGCAGCAGCGCGGGGAGCGGAGGGGGAGAGGGGCCCCCAGGAGAAGGGGCCAGCAGACAGGTCGATGAGTGCCCACCTGGCAGTGAGGAAGGGGGTGTTGAAAGGGGGGTGAGGGTGGGGGACAGGGATGGGGAAGTAAGGAATGCCGCACACAATCAGCCCGCCTCTGCTTCCATCCAACACCCCCATCCACCCTACCATTCAATCCTTCGCTTCCCATCCTCCCACCTCAGCCCCTTCCTTCTACCATCCCCCCTTCCACTCCCCCCACATCCCCTTCACCATTCCCCCTCCCATCCCCCCCTTTTTCCCCCGGTCCCCCCCTCCCCCTCCCCCCCCCACCTGCGGGTGCCAATCCACGTGTCAGTGAGGCACTGCTCCTGCCAGCTGGCATCGGCCTCTTGCAGGGCGGCGCGCAGGGCGCGGGCGCGGCGGGGGTCCCCCGAGGTGAGCAGCTGCTGCGCCTTGCGAGCGGCGCTGGCACGCGGGTCCCCGCGCTCGCTCACCACTCGCTCCACTGTCCCCAGCAGCGCTGTCACCCGCGCCGCCCACGGCAGCTGCGCACACGTACGGGTTTCAGGTTTAGGGTTTAGGCGGGGAGGGGGAAGGGGAGGCGAGGGGGTTGCGGTGTGCAGCAGGTGGGAGTGCGTGGCAGCTGCGTTGTCTGTGGCGCACACGCAGTGGCATGTTGCCTCGGAATGGTCCGGATTGCATGTTGTTGGTTGGATGCACGCACGCACACACATGCAGGTGGGTAGGGCACTGGGAATCATGCCATACCACCACTGGCACAGCACCATGTGAGGCAGCACGAGAAGCGACCTACTGCAAGGCTCAGCAATGCGGCTCACGATTTCATGCGGCTCGATGTGGCGCCACGCTAGCTTGTGCCCTGGGCGCGAGGAAAAGAGTGGCTGTGGCACGTGCTGCTCGTCTGGAGTGGGGAGGGCAGAGGGGTGGTGGAGAGGAGTGAGTAGGGAGAGGAGATGAGGGAGCGCTTACCCAGCAACTTATAACGAGTACAGCCCACTCACCCAGCAACCTATAACGAGTACAGCCCACTCATCCAGCAACCTATAACGAGTACAGCCCATTAACCCAGCACCTTATTAAGGGTACAGACCACTCACCCAGCACCTGCGGCACCTTCTCCAGCCCTGGCGACAGCAGGTGCTGCCTCAGCCGGTCGTCCTGCCCCCACCACAGCAAGGGGGGAGGGCGGAGGGGGTTGGGGGAAAAGGGGCGAGGGGGGGAAGGGAAGAGTGATGGAGCGGGGAAGGGGTGTCGATGTGGCATCCCATCGGGAAGGACGGATTGGGCGGGGTGGGTTTGGAGGGAAATGCATACGGGGAGGAGGACAGGGTCCGGGTGGGTGAGGAATGAAAGGGAGACAAGTGAGTGGAGCAGTGGTGGGTGAGATGCATGGTGATCCATGGTGCATGCACACAGGATGGTGCACACAAGGCGGGGGACACAGGCGGAGAGCAACCGGGAGAGGGTGCGAGGGAGGGGAGTGGAAGAGGGATGGGTGCATGGGGCATGGGGCATGGTGCATGGGGCATGGGGCATGGGGCATGGTCATGGTGTATGGTGCATGGGGCATGGGGCATGGGGCATGGTGCATGGGGCATGGGGCATGGGGCATGGTCATGGTGTATGGTGCATGGTGCATGGGGCATGGGGCATGGTGCATGGTCCATGGTGTATGGTGCATGGTGCATGGTGCATGGGGCATGGGGCATGGTGCATGGTCCATGGTGTATGGGGCATGGGGCATGGGGCATGGGGCATGGGGCATGGGGCATGGGGCATGGGGCATGGGGCATGGGGCATGGGGCATGGGGCATACCGTCTTAAGCATGTTGAACTCTGCATTGGACAGGCCGAGCCTGCAACAGGACCATGTGCAGGGAGGGGCGAGAGGGGTGGCATGTCAAGGGGCGAAAGGCTGCTTACGCAACAACACAATGAGGACGGCAAACAAGCATTACAACCCCATGCCATACCACCCCGCACCACGGCCTCACCTGTACCACCCCGCACCACGGCCTCACCTGTACCCATATCGCTTGCGAGCACGCGCACGATTAAGGTTGAGCACAATCACGTTGTACGCCGAGGCATCGAGCTGCAGCGAGTCCACCAGGCTGTCCACCACATGCGCCATGGCGCCCATGTCCACCTGGTACTGCACGGGCCCTCCGGATGATGCAGCGGAGGATGATGAGGAGGAGGAGGAGGAGGAGGAGGAGGAGGAGGAGGAGGAGGAGGAGGAGGAGGAGGAGGAGGAGGAGGAGGAGGAGGGGTGGTGGGGGTGAGGGGGCGAGTCGGCGGGGTCGTCGTCGTCGTCGGAGGCAGCAGTGGGGTCGTCGGGGCGGGAGAGTGTTCGCACTGCTGCCTCGAACACGGAGGCTACCCGCTCGCCCATCTCCATCACATGCACCGTGTAGCTGGGGGTGGGTGGGGTGCGCATGAAGAGTGGCACGGACGGAGCGGGGTTGCTTGATGCCGTTTCGTCAGAGCAGAGCGACACTCACACCCACCATGCTAACGAATTCGCTCAAACGGGTATGGTAAAGGGGAGGCAGCGAGCAATGAGGAAACGCGCCAAGCAGCGAAGCAGCGAGCAGCTCACTTGTAGTGCACGCTGCTGATCAGCGGCAGGTCATGCTCAAACCCCTCCCCCTCCCCCTCCTCCTCCTCCTCCTCCTCCTCCTCCTCCTCCTCCTCCTCCTCCTCCTCCTCCTCCTCCTCCTCCTCCTCCTCGTCATCGTCATCACTGCGCACCACCTCGCCGCCCGCCCCCATGGTGTGGGCGAGGCGGGCGAGGAGGGAGGGCCAGTTGAGGGGCGCGCGCGTGTGCTCCTCCACGTGGTCCATGCGCTGCAGCCACCGCCGCATGTCGCCCTCCCGCATGTGCATGCCTGCTCGCACACCCGTGGGTGGGTGGGTGGGTTACGGTAGGTGGGTGAGTGCCAGGAGGGTGAATGGATGCACGTGGCAGGGGGGCGGGCGCACATGCGTGCTCAACTGGGCAAGGAGTGAGGATGTGCATGCGGGTGAGTGGGGGTGCAGCCAGCCAAGGCTGCCCATAACCCATAGTGGTAGCAGCCTGCAGTCATTGCCACCCACTCTGCTTGCCACCCACTCTGCTTGCCACCCACTCTGCTTGCCACCCACTCTGGTTGCCACCCACTCTGCTTGCCACCCACCCTGCTTGCCACCCACTCTGCTTGCCACCCACTCTGCTTGCCACCCACTCTGCTTGCCACCCACTCTGCTTGCCACCCACTCTGGTTGCCACCCACTCTGGTTGCCACCCACTCTGCTTGCCACCCACTCTGCTTGCCTCCCACTCTTCTTGCCTCCCACTCTGCTTGCCACACCCTGCTTGCCACCCACCCTGCTTGCCACCCACTCTGGTTGCCACCCACCCTGATTGCCACCCACCGTGCATGCCACCCGCCCTGCTTGCCACCCACCGTGCATGCCACCCAACCCGGATGCCACCCACCGTGGTCACCAGTGCCATTGAAGCCGATGAAGATGAGGTTGACGGGGATGGGCACGTGGATGGCTCGCACTGCCTTCAGCCCCAGGTATTCCGCCAGGTTGCCTGCCACCCGCCTCCATTGCACCACCCAATACAGTCACACGGGGGTTGGAGCGAGTGAGGACAGAGAGCAGCGAGGGCTGGGGAAACTGTAACGGAATTCGCAGGGTGGCGCTGCTGCAGGGAGATGTGCCCTGCACGGCTGATATGCTATGATCTGATCTGATCTGATCTGATCTGATCTGATCTGATCTGATCTGATCTGATCCCACATGATGCCACCAGCCAATCCGGCCATGCCCAAACACACGCTTTGCAACAGCACGAAGCTCATGTGGGGCGCGCACCTTGCTTGACGTAGTGGTCCACCTCGTTGTACCCGTTATAGAAATTGCTGGGCCGCTTCAGGTCGTCCCACGCTGCAGGCACGCATTGTGACGCACGTTGGCAGGGGGGGGGGTGGGCGGGGTGGGGGGGGGAGGGGGGGGAAGCAACGGAGCAGGGGTGGATGGGCGCAATGGGGAGCAGGGAAGACAGAGATGAGGAAGAGACGAAAAGAGGGAGACTTGTTAGCGGCAATGGGGGAGGGTGAAGAGGTGAGACGACGGGCGACGGGAATGACCAAGGGAGCTTTGTTGAAAGGCGAGTGATAGGCGAAGGAGGCAAAGGCATGTGCACGGCAGGAGAAGGAAGTGAATACGCGTTGGGAAACAGGATAGAGGAAATGCGGAGCACGATCCTTGTCCACGCAAGCTGGATGCGGCTGGGCGCAGCAAGATAACACCGTGAGGAGGACAAGGAAGGAATGAGTGTGGCGAGAGCAAGAAACGTGGTCACAGCAAGGAGCATGATCCAGGCCGTACACTGCAGCAGCAAATCATCGTCTGACAGCTGGCCTTCATCCTTGGCGTCGAACATCGCGAACATTTCGTCCTTGAGATTGCCGCTGCGCGCCGCGTGCACCTGCAATCAGCGATCACGAAGCGCGATTTATTTGAACACGTGAAACAGTGAATCGATCCTAAAGCGGCTGAAAGTCCAAAGCACTCAGAATGACGACCTTACCTGAATCCCCGCGTCCCATGCTGTTGCGATCAGCACCGAAACCACAAGCAGAAGCTGACCTAATCTTCTTCCATGTTTCTCAAACCCTAATGTCCCCATCGCGTGTGGACAGGGAAAGTCACAGCTATAGCGGCCCTATGCTGCGCACATTATGCGGTGTCAGCTCTACTGTATTCACTACAGGTCGCACTGAGCCAGGTTTCCTGTGTGCCGCCGAATTGATGTTCACTTGAGGTCCGCGCTATAAGCGGTGAGCGGTTGGAAACATGCAAACCTAAACATAGATTTACAAAACTGTACAGAAATTTCCGTAACAGATGTGAAGAGAGAAAGCGAACACGACATTTGACCACCTCTTGCTAGCAACTCGTGCTGCCTCTTTCGTGCTGCGTAAATTATTCGCATGACGACAAGCTATCCAACTGGGTGGGTCACGTTTCGCTGGCCTTTCGCTGGCTGTGCCTTCCGCGTTGGACCAATTGCGTCGCTGTCGAAATCGTCAGCCCCCTCCCTCTCTCCCCGCGATCTCCGAAGCTGTGGGAATGTGCGCCGTAGTTTGACTATTCTTTTCGCGACATTGATGACCTGCCCCCTCTGTTTTCCGCCTCCCCCCAACTCCTCCCGACCTGACTGACACGTCTCCTCACATCCCCTTCAGCGGCGGTTGGCGGAACGCGCCACGGAGTACAGTAATACAGTACACATGCGAATGTATATTTTCTACAAAAGCCCGCCGCACAACGGAACGCTGGATGAAACGGAAAACACCTGCCCCGCCAGTCGTTTGCCCACTGCCCCCCTACCCGCCTTCGAGATCGCACGCTGAAGTCCAGCCAGCGGCGCAGGCGCATCCCGTCCAGTCCAGCCAGACACACACACTCTCATGTTTCCCCTCTTCCCTCTTCCGCACCCACGTCGTCAAAGCCCAAGGCATCCTCTGCGCTGCAGCACAGTTTCTTCGCCCTACATGTCCATTGCGCTTTAGGAGCTTCTAGGAGATGCTGGACGTGTGAAGTAAATTTGCAACAGCTTTAGTTTGAGGAAGAGGCTGCGTGGTTAACGAGATGATGACAACTATCTCGCGCGATCCCGACCTGCCGTTCAATCCGGACGACGCGCGGGGTGCCTTCCATCGTAGGAGCGTGTCGCTTGCGACAGCAACCTCGCATTTGCGGGATGCGAACCAAGCTTGGGCGTCGCCCACCCTGTTCGTTCCCCTACCGCACTCGCCGCTGTCACAGCTCCCGCCTTTGCTAGAAAACTGCGGCAACGACGGAGCCGCGGTGGACGGCGCTGACGCAGCACGGCGGAAAGATGGGCCGGGGGAGCAAACGGCCTTCGACGTGGCATTGCCAGAAGCTGTCAACGGCAGGACTAACGGCTACCTTCGGGGCGACGAGTTGGCGGGCCGGCGGCCGCTCGGCCGAACCCGCTCTCAGGCCATCGGGCCGACTCACCAAGCGCAGCGCGCGACTCTCCTGGCGTCGCCTTCGCAGCGCTACGATTCGTCCTCATTCTCGGGAAGCTTGAAGGAGAGGACGAGCGAACACGCGGCGCGCATCAGGAACATGATGCAGAAAGAACGACTCGATTTCTCGGAACCACCGTCGAACGCGCAGCCCGCGACTGTCAAAGTCAACTCCGATGACCCGCGCGCGCTTGGGGAAGGATTGCCCTTGTCTTCTCCGCAGCTGTCGCAGCAGCAAAATGCTAACGGCGAAATGTCAGCACAAGCGACAGCTCCGCCGGGGGGACACCGGCGGGGAGGTAGTAACCAGTTGGGGGGGCTGCAGGCGCATCTGCAGCACCTCCTGCCCGCGACCACGCTGAGTCGGCGTGGCAGCATCACCAGCAGCCACGCGAGAAACAGCAGCTACGGCAGCGGGATTAGCTTCAGCGGCAGTGCGGAAGCAGCGCCAGCGTGAGCGGCGCCAGCGTGAGTGGCATCAGCGGTAGGAGCAGCAACGTGGGGGTACCGGCGTTTTCCCCACCCGTGGTACCAGGCGGACCAATCACCGTCGCCCCCGTCTCTCCTAGTCTGCAATTCGCCAACCCTATCGTTGCCGATGGCCAAACCCCCTCTCTAGGCTCGGTGGCTCCGGTTAGGGTAGCGCCAGTCGAACTGGTGTTACCGAGTTCGCCGGCATCGTCGGCGTCGCCAGCGTGGTCGCCTTCGCCAGCGTCGCCACCAGATGGAGGGTTCATTCCAACTATTCGCAGGGCGATCTCTCTCGCCGTGCAGCGCGCCAAGCCGCAACAGCAGCAGCGGCAGCAGCAGCAGCAGCTACTGGTACAAGCCCATCCCGTGCTTGAGATACCGAGTCGAAATGGGACAGCCACTGCCCTCGCTGCTCACCCACCCGCGGTTAAATTCTCGCCCTCGTCTCGTGCCGTCGCTCTCTCCCATGCGTCAGCGCACCCGACGACCGCAGCCGCAGTTTGTCCCAAGTGCGGCCATACCATGGCCCCCGCGGCTTCGTCCCCCGACGAAGGGCGGGAATCCGCGCAGGGGCGGAAGGGCCGGCGGCGCGTGCCGGCCGCGGCGGTGGAAGCGGCGGCGATGGCGGCAAAGGCCGCGCAAGCCGCCGCGATGGCCGCAGAGGCTGCTGCTGCCGCCTCGAAGGAGGCTGCTAGCGCTGCCGCTGCTGCCGCCGCTGCGATCGCGGAGGAGACGGACAGTGACTGTTGGGAGAGTGACTGTGTGGGGGAAGAAGCGGGGAAGGGCGCCACAGGAGGAGACGGACGCGACACGGGAGCGCGCGTCCAGGCGGCAGTGACAGGCGGCGGGGGGGCCAAGCGCAGCGAAGCGGTAGCTTGCGGGGAAGGCAGGGATACGGGTGATGAGGAAGCGAGAAGGTTGGCGGAAGAGAGCGCAGAGACAGTGAGGGCGGAAGCAGAGGACGGAGCGGGGGCAGGCACAGTGGGGGACAGTGAGGTCGCAACGGCGCGGCAGGGGGAAATGAGTGATGGTGAGGCGGGGACGAGGGCAGGGGAAGAACCAGGCACGGAGGCCGGGGGCCGCGGGCAGAAGGCGCAAGGAAAGTATAAGCGACTGTCGCCCCGGCCCGTGATTGTAGAGAGAAGAGGGTTCTCAGGTGCGCGCGCGATACAGTCACCCCCTGGTGCAAGCGCCACCATGGGCAACGAGGAAGCGGGGGCGGAGAGCGGACGTGTGCGCAGCGGAATGGGCCAACAGTCGCCCCAGGAGCGAAGGGGGATGGAGAGGGGGGAGGATGGAGCGGAGGAGAGCAGGGTGGGGCCTGGGGCGATGAACGGTGGAGATGCAACCGATGGCAGCGAGGGTGCGGACGAGATGGCGGCTGGGGATACGGGGGGTCACGAGGAGTGGGAACAGGCGGAGCAGAAGGGGCAGGGGGAGCAGCGAGCGCCGTTCCCCTCGCCCCATTCCCACGCTGAACCGCGCCTGCACGCTGCACCCCCCGCTGCCAGGCCCCTCGACGCGTCTTCTCCGCGAGCCCACTCACCCCGGCGCCTGTCGCCCTCGGCGCGATCACCCCATGCCACGTCATCTCCGACGGCCGCAGGCGCAGGCACCCGCGCAGGGACCCGCGCAGACACCCGCGCTGGCGGCCAGTCGGGGACAGGCAGCAGTGGCAGCGAGGGCGAGGAGTATCACACCCCGCACAGCACCCCTCCCCCGCCCACCGACAGCCTCCCCTCCGCGCTGCAGCGCGCGCAGCAGCTGGCGGGGCTCCCCTTGAGCCCGTCGCTCGAGGCGTACCTTATTGACGCGCGCGCCGACCACGCCGCGGACGGCTCCTGCGCGGAGCCTCCGGAGGCGCACGACACGGGGGAGAGCAGCGCGGAGTGCGGCGCGGAAAACGGCGAGGACATCCCTCCCGTCGAGGACGGTCCCCTCGCCGCCCCCAGCAGGCCCCCCAAGTCACCCAGGCCGGAGCGCGCGCTCTCCCCCCTCGCTGCACGGGGCGCGCGGCAGGCACGCGCGCGCCAGGCGCCTGCGCGCTCGCCGCGGTCGCCCAGAACGAGAGCGGTGAAGGACGGTGCGTGGCGGTGCAAGTCCATGCAGGAAGGCTCCTCCAACCCCCCCAGCGCCGCCAGCGCCAGCCGCGCGGGCGGGTCTAGCGCCGCTGCTGCCTCCGCCGCGCGCCCTGCCGCGCGCACGCGGTCCTTCCGCGAGCAGTCGCCCCGCGGGACGCTGAGGGGCGCAGGCGGAGGGGGGAGGGTGCTGCGCAAGGCGGGGTCAGAGCCAGAGGAGCGGGGGGGCGCGGGGGAGGGGGGTGGGGGAAGCAGAGGGGGCAGGGGCGCGCGGGGCGGGCAGGTATGGTCGCAGGCGCGGCCCAAGTCGCCGAGGGAGGCGCTGCGGTCCCCAAGGGCGCGCTCCAAGTCGCCCACTGACGGGCTCAGGTCGCCCAGCGACGGGCTGCGCTCCCCCTGCGCTGCAGGCAGGTCCCCGCGCCCCCTGCCTTCCCCCAACGCGGGGCTGCCGGGGCGAGACGTGGGCGCGGGGGAGAGGGCGGGAGGGGGGAGGAGCAGGCAGGTGCGGAAGGTGAGCAGCTGGAGTGGCCCTGGAGGGGCGGAGGGCGCGGGCGGGGGAGAGGGGGACGCAGAGGAGACAGGGCGACGCACAGGCGCAGAGAGCAGAGCAGGGGGAGGGGGAGGAGGAGCGGGGCGGGGAGTGGGGCAGGGCGGGTTGGGACAGGCGGGATCGGCGTCGTTCTCAGCAGGGGGGGCGCGGGTGGCGGAGTTCATACTGGGGCGCGCATACAGGGACGTGGGGGAGGCGTACGAGGTGGGGGGCGAGCAGCTGGGCGTGGGGCAGTTTGGGGTGATCCGTGCGTGTGTGAGCCGCAGCACGGGGCAGGTGATGGCGTGCAAAGCCATCAGTAAAGAGCGCATTCTGGTGAGCCATGCACGGGGATGCGTTGGGGTGTGCCATGTGGCATGTGGCATGGCATGTTGTACGTTGTGCAAGCATTTGGGCGAACGTGTGTGCATGCGTCTGCATGTGTGTGGATGTATGTTCACGTGTGTGCATGTGTGTGCATGTGTGAGCATGTGTGTGCATGTGTGTACATGTGTATGCATTTGTGCATACGGGTGTGCACATATGTGCGTGTTTAAGCATATGGGTGCATGTGTGATGCATATGCGTGCACCTCACGACTACCCCTCTCTCCATCCATCCCACCCCTTCCTCCCACCAGGCACAGGAGGATGCGGAGGACGCGGGGAAGGGAGGTGCGCGTGATGCATGTGCGTGCATGTGTGTGCACCTCACACGTACCCCTCCCCATCCATCCCCATCCCCATCCATCCCCATCCCCATCCATCCCCATCCCCATCCATCCCCAAACCCCTCCCACCAGGCACAGGAGGATGCGGAGGACGTGGCGAAGGAGGTGCGCGTGATGCAGCAGCTGAGGGGCCACCCGCACATCGTCAAGATCCACCGCGCCCTCGAGGACTCCCAGGTGCGTGGAGTGGGGGAAAAGGGCTGGGGGAGGGGCAGATGGCGAGGAGAAGAGAGGAGCGTGGGCATGTGCAACTGCAGCAGCTGCGGGGCCACCCTGCTGGTGTGGTGAGGGGGCAGTAAAGCATGGTGGACCGCACACATCACCACTGGCACTGCCATGCCACCTCATCTCTCACCCTGGCCACTGCCACGCCACCTCCCCTCAGCATTCCCTGCCCATCTCTCCAATTCACCTCCCTAAACCTTTCGTCATCTCCCCCTCCTTCCGTCTCCCCCCTCGTCCCTCCCCCCCAGCACGTGCACATCATCATGGAGATCTGTCGGGGCGGCGATCTCTTCGACCGCGTCAAGGCGGGCGGCAGACTGAGCGAGCGCAGTGCGGCGGCCATCACGGAGCGGGTGGTGGAGGCGCTGCTGTGGTGCCACGAGAAGGGCGTGGTGCACCGGGATGTGAAGCTGGAGAACATTCTGCTCAAGCAGCGCGGGCATGACACTGACATTCGCCTCACTGACTTTGGCATGGCCGCCGAGGTCCGCCCAGGTACTTACTGCTCATTCCACCATCATGCGCCCTATACCCACGTGCTGTCCCTTCCTTCCTCCTTTTGTCCACGTGCTGCCCCTTCCTTCCTCCTCTGCCCTCTGCCCTCTGTCCTCTGCCCGCTGCCCTCTGCCCTGAGGTCACTGACTTGGGCATGGCTGCTGAGGTCCGCCCAAGTACTGCTCATTCCACCATCATGCGCCCCTACGCTCTCATTCCACACCAGCAGCAGCTGCTCCAAGAGCCATGCGATACCGGACACCACAATAGCCAATCCCATGCGTCCATCCACCCCTCACACCCCCCTTCTCACTCCCCCCTCTCCTCCCCCTCCCACCAGGCGAGGTGCTAACGGAGCTGATAGGCACGCCCTACTACATGGCTCCTGAGGTGCTGGCGGGCGCATACGGGCCCGAGGCGGACATGTGGAGTGCGGGCGTGGTGCTCTACATCCTGCTGTGCGGCCTGCCGCCCTTCTACGCCGCCTCCAACGACGGCATATTCGACGCCATCCGCACCAAGGACGTGCAGTTCAAGGCGCCCAAGTGGCACGGTGTGAGCAGCGGTGCCAAGCAGCTGATCAGCAGCATGCTCGAGAAGAACCCCCGCGAGCGCATCACAGGAGAGGAGGTTCTTGGTGAGTGGCTGTGGTAGAGATTTTATTGGTCGTTTGTGTGCAGTAGCACTATTTTTTCCTTGTCAGAGGTTTTTTCTTTTGACAGAGGCTTTCAATGATGGCTAAGAAATGATTGTGTGCGGTCTTTGTGTGTGCATTGGCAGAGCATCCTTGGATTAAGGCACATGCGTTTGATGACTAACCTAACATCGCCCACCGGGCCACTGTATATACGTACGTACGGTACCGTAATTGCTTCCAGTGACACCCGTGGCCATGACATTGATTTCGCCAGCCTGTGGGTGTGTAATTTTATTGCGCTTCAGCTTCACTGCTTTGAATAATGGGAGCTGCAAAATGATCAGGCCACCCTAAGCGTGGACTTCTAGATGCTTGCACATGCTTTGCAAGCTGCAATGTGCAGCTACCGTACTTATCTTACGTAGAGAGACTCCAACGATATGTTACATTACGTCTTTTGCACCTGCCGAGTAATGACATTCCAGATCAATCATTTTGGGCCAATCCTTTTTATTTTTGAAAGTGTAAGTCAATCTTCATTTGTAACTGGGTTTATGCTACATCATATACTCAACAGTTCCTGCTTTCAGAAGAACAAGCACGGTCCAGGTTTCCTCGACTAGCTGCCTTGTGTCGCGTTCGGACTTCGCGTGTCCAACCTACACCAAACCTCGACTTCCAAGCAGGCCTCTCCTTTGCAGGGTGTTGCATACGGATTGCCCTGCAAATCAGGGTGTTTCATTTTTACAACCCGACCATCTGTGCAGCCTTGAGATTGCTACCCGGATCGTGTCCGGATTACTGTATTCACCCGGCGTCCGAGTTCTGGGTTTCGCGATCCCGCCTTGGAAGCGTCTGAGCACATGGCCTGGCAACTCTCAAATTGGCCAAGACTGAGAAGGACTTCGCCGTAAATCCATCTCGTTCAGGGCCAACACACCACACGATTTCGGCTAGTACGAGAAGATTCTGTCACATGCTTCCCACATAACAACCTTGCGTTAGGGCCAAGGCCGGGTGGCGGGTGAGGGATTTCCTGAATTGGAAGTGTGGCTCAGAATGAAAAGAGAGCCCTGCTTCTAACCCCCCCCACCCCCCCTAGCTAAGGTGCCTCACTATGCGCGTAGGACGTCTAGGAGAGTTGGAAGGAAAGTGGAAAACTGAAACAACCCTCCGAAACTCATAAAAGACTCAAAACTAGCCACTCATCTCCAGAGCTGGACTGAAACAAACCCATCAATTCCCGCCAGGATGAGAAACTAAACTCCTATTGTTTTTAGGGCAATCAGGGCGAACGCTCTCCTTTGGACAGTTCTGTTTCAGATCTTGAGAGATCCGGAGATTTCGAAAGATCTCGTACATTCCTTGTTGATTGTCATCGTGCTTCGTGTTCAATTTCAATGACCTTGGCGAAGTTCATACACCCTGTTTCTCAACGTTCTGACAATCGGGAGCCCGGGCTACAGTGCGAACGTGCGCTTGGATTTTGCGGGCTGGTGCTTGCAGCCGAACCCCAGGTATGTGGCGGGCAAATGCAGTCCATTTGAACGATACAAAACGTTTTATGACAGAACATTGCTATCGCGTACGGTTGAGTGCGGCAAATTGTGCTTATATGCAATGTTCTGGGACCGTTTTGGACGCGTTGATGTCAGCATAGGCGGCATGTCAATACAGCGAATGTCAGTGTGGCGCGAAACAGGGTGTACAGGCAAGTGTTTGCGAAATCAAACGCAACCGTACGTTGGCCGGTTCGTTTTCAAGGTGGCACAAGCTGGAGCCTTCCTTGACTCTACCCTCCATCAAGTAAGGACGAAAGGGTTGCTGCCATTTTTATGCAATTCAGCTTTCAAGTTCCTGAAGCCACCATTTCCTTGCCTGGTTCGAAGCGACGAAAAGCGCCCCCTCACTACAACTGGTACACGTAATACGTAGTCTTGTTCCAACCCAAACTAATACAATACAAAAGTCTTGGTCTTGAGCCAACATACAAGTAACAGCCGCGCCCAAATTGCGGTTTATAATGACGATATTGTACCATAACGGATGACTTTTCTTCGTATGATCCGTACGGTTGTTTCACGGTTTTACTTGTGGGAATCAATTTAATATTGAACATATTTTTAAAGGACGTCATGGTGGAGATTATTATTAATTAGTTAATTCTGAATGTTCTTGCGTTAAATGTCATTCCAGGTACCATTTTAGCCTCAAATTGCACATGTATGGTGGTTCACTTATCTAAAATCTGAGGTTCTCTAACATGAATATGGTGTATTCATTCTGCACATTGTGCTCCACGGATAGCCCCACTCAGGGCCAATTGTTTCCCTCAGTCATACGACAGCAGCTCTCCTCCCTATGCAATTGACAAGCTCACCCAAAAGCCCGAAGAAAATATAACTTGGTTCACAATCCAAAGTGAGGGGAAACGTGTTCGCAGGATGTAGGTACAAAACCAAAACAATGGAAGTTCTGACTTCTAGGGCTTGGCTGCGTTCATATATTTGAGCACCTTGAGACTGGAAATTACAGAGAATTTGAGTACAGTTGGAGGCGAATTCCTCTGTTCGAAACAAGTTCGCATGGCCATGGCCGCCGCCCAGTTCACGCGCTGAAGGTGGGGGCAGGTGTAAGGGAAATTATACGCGCAGTCACAATTATGGCCGTATTATCACGTTTGGTCACGGGGTCATCACGGACAGTCACAGTACAGTACTTCGCTATCACGCGTGATCACAGCGCTATCACGCTTGATCACTCCTCGCCCCGCAGGGTTATCACGTTTGGTCACTCGTTGAAACGCCCGCCAAAAAGTCGAAACTCTCAAATCTACTGTACAGATTCGGGTACTTTTTATCTCGCGCGCGTTTTGTCTGTAGTGAAAAACGTGATGTGACTGTCGAAATATACTCGGTCCTTGTTAGGGACCGATGCAGTTTAATGCAGAGTCCGCAACTTGCAGTGAATATACGCGATCAATAGCAGTTTCGATTATATAATCACTCTTCTCTTTGTAATTGATACCTCGACATTATGTTTTGCACACGCAGTAATAAATAACCCAATTACACAATGTCGTTTGCAAATCAATCACCAGTCAATCTTGGATTTGAGTAGACATACGATATGGTGAATTGAACAAGCTACAGGGAGGGAGGTATCAGAGGTAATTCTCCCTCTAGCGAGCGCTTGCCTGCAAGCTAACGTAATATAAGTGTAATTTAACTTGCAGGCAAGCGCTCGCTAAAGGGAGAATTACCTTTGATACCTCCCTCCATGTAGCTTGTTTAATTCACCATATCGTATGCCTACTCATATCCAAGATTGACTGGTGGTTGATGTGCAAATTACATTGTGTAATTGGGTTATTTATTACTGCGTGTGCAAAACATAATGTCAAGGTATCAATTACAAAGAGAAGAGTGATTATATAATCGAAACTGCTATTGATCGCGTATATTCACTGCAAAATGCGGACTCTGCATTAAACTGCATCGGTCCCTAACAAGGACCGAGTATATTTCGACAGTCACATCACGTTTCTCACTACAGACAAAAAACGCGCGAGATAAAAAGTACCCGAATCTGTACAGTAGATTTGAGAGTTTCGACTTTTTGGCGGGCGTTTCAACGAGTGACCAAACGTGATAACCCTGCGGGGCGAGGTGTGATCAAGCGTGATAGCGCTGTGATCATGCGTGATAGCGAAGTACTGTACTGTGACTGTCCGTGATGACCCCGTGACCAAACGTGATAATACGGCCATAATTGTGACTGCGCGTATAATTTCCCCAGGTGTAAGGTTCTGGCATCCACAGTCTGGTGTACTGTTCCATACATCCCCTAATGCAATGCCAAGCGTGTTGCAGTGGTACATCCCTACTTCCCACACATGCGTCCAGAGACGGGCAGCATTGTGCTCACATCACATCCCATCCCACAGATGTTGGTTTCAACTTTCAAGCAGCTGTTTGAGACTGTACACCTAGTCCGCGGTATTTTAACCGCCGCTATCGTAACCGCGCGAGGGTACTTCTCCTTGGTCAAACTTTTTTATACGAGTAGTTTTGAAGTTTATTGAGGGTAGAATATAGCATACCCTTTGTGAGCCGACGGCAGTCAAAACATGGTCAATGCCGATCCGCCCTCTTCTTCGGAGCACTAAGTGTGAGTTTCTTTAGAAGTAAATGCTTCTGGCTGCGAAACAATAGTCTTAAAGTCTCTGGGTGCCCATCTCATTACCCGAAAATGAACAAAGGGTGTTTGAAGCAAAACAGTTTACGTGGTTAAAATACCGCGGACTAGGTGTATGCCTTTTTGGCCCCCGGTGCATGCGACCGACATTGCGACGCCAGACATGAATGTCGGAAGCGTGCCAAAACAGTCCTATTTCTCGCATCGCCGGCTTGAAAATGAAGACAACGACAAAGAAATGCAAGGCAAGAAGCAGCATTGCAATAAAATTCTTGAAAAAGCAGCATTACTAATCGAATTTCCACCACTCTCCTTTGCCCCAGCCTCCCTGAGCAACGTCACCTTACTCACACTGTCCTTTTGGGGGGATCATTTCGTTCCCCCCCCCCCACCCGCAGATCGACTCTTCCACGCCGAGTATCTCTTGTGATACTCTCTGCCGCGTAACTTCGAACTGCCAGCTGTTCTCTTTGTCCGCCGAAGTCTACTCCTCACTGCACCTCCTCACTCAATGTTGAGTTCTGTTCCTAAGATCCTCCTGGCTTTACGCGTCTCACCTGAAGGGTGGTGACTTTATTTACCACTAACATCAGGGAGTTACAGTACCACACAAATGTTGGGCTCTGATCCCCGTAGTATCACCACGCACGAGCCTCCCTCTCACGAGCAAGTATTCCCTAGCGTCCCGAGTTACGCTCTCTTCTCGAGCTCCGAGTTTCAGTCCCTTCAGCCGTGCGCAGAGCAGAAACCACGTCACCATCGCACCGTATCCTCGGATAGCACGATGCTTAGTCTCGAAGCGCCGCGTAGAGGCACTGCGCTTGACGAGCAAAGCCCCTTTGATCGCTGCTATGGGTATCCCGCACCCACGGTATTGACTGCAAGTCAGCACCGCAGTCAGCACCGCCGGCAACGATCCGCAACCGAGCTACACGTTTCTCCTCCTTCTCAGCCAACAAATCATGTTCCTCCCGTCTCGCGCATGAGACACGGAACTCCCCGCAGTGCCGTGAGTTGCGGCCAGATCCCCCTCGAAAGGAATGAGGAGAGCGGGGCTTCCTCCTACGCGGGGCCGTCGCTGTCCCCCGCCCGGTCGCCGCTGCGACAGCGGCGGGAAGGAAATCACAGAGTCGCGCTGCGACGGCGTGGCAGCGAGGCGGATTTGCTTTTCCCCCATTCGCTATCCAGCCCAGCGCCCGCACCGTTGCCGCCCCGCGGCGTGCCCCACTCCCGCTCTGGGGAGTTCCGCATCCAGCCAAGCGATGACGGCGGACTGTCGCCCGTCCACCGCCGACAATCCACGCGGCTGCCCCGGCCTCCGTCCTTCCAGCCCCTCGGCGCTTCGGGTGCCGCCAGGGGTACCCGCCGCGGCTCTCACGCCCCGCGTCTGTCGCTCGACGAGCATGCGTTCGTCTCAGCGGCTCTCACGCCTGGCCGACGCGCCTGCAGCGGCGTCGACCCCTCGGATTATTCTTTGTCACCGACGGCGCTCGCCGCCGAGCAGACGTCGCCGTACGGCGCGGCAATGGATGTGGTGGCGTCGGCGCGCCAGCTGATGGAGGAGTGCAGCGCGCGCGGTATTCAATGGGAACTCGAGGACTGGCAAAAGCCAGAGGCGCCGCTGAAAAGTAACGAGCGCATGCCGCAGTCGGCCAGCGCGGGGCTTGGCGTGGCGGAAAGGACCCAGGCGGAGGCGGTTTCCGCGGCAGGTCGGGGAAGGAAAGCTGGGCGGCAGCGCGCGGCTCGGGGGCAACTCGTGGCCGGGCGCAACGGCGCTGGCGGCAAGTCGCATCACCGGATGGTCAGCGTGGACGAGCTGCTGGGTGACACGCGGCAGGCGGGGCTGTCGAACAGAGCTGCTGGCGGTGGCGGTGGTGTGAGGCCCGCGGGCGGATTGAGCACAAAAGTGAACGGCGGCGTGGGCGGAATCGACCTGAGATTCTTCCAGGAATTCGACGACCTGCCGCGGGAGCTGCTGCAGGAGATGCTGGCCGCTAACGCCGACGAGCTTGGCGTTTTCCAGCAGCGAAACGATCGGGTTGGCGCGAAGAATCGCGCGCGGGCGGACGAGCGGACCGCGCCGGGGACGAGTCGACGAGCGGCGAAGGGGAGCGGCGCGAGCGGTATATCGCTTCGCAGCAGCTGTGAAGGTCTGGAGGCGGACGGTGGTAGTGACATGCGGGGGTGGGGGACAGGCGGAAACGTGTTGATGCCGAAGATGCGAAACGACAAGGCCGAGGATAGCGATTTATACGCCGCGCAGTTCGACGAAGATGGGGGCGACGCGGAAGGCGCGCAGACGTGGAGAGAGCAGCCGATGTCATCACAGCAGCCCATCGCTGGAAAGCCCATGCTGGGGTCACGAGTGGCGTCTGAACCGCACTCCGCGTCCACTCAAGGTTTCCGCTCACGCACTCCCCCCCGCAACGCTCCTCTCCCGCGCAAACGCCGCGAGTCCGCGCAGTTCCCAAGCTGCGCGTCCGTGCCGTCCTTCCAAGCGTCGTCTCCTCCCTCCTCGTCCCTGAAGGACCGAGAGCTCAGGTTACCGCCTGCCGTGCCCCGCGCTACTTCAAAGCAATCCGTCTATCGCACTGGCTCGGTGATAAATGAACGCTACGCCGGCTCGAGCCCGACAGCACCCAGCTTTGATCACGGAAACGCGTCGAGCCTTGGGTACTCTCAATCGCAAGCTGCTGCCGAAGTAGGGACTTTGGTTGGGCCTAAGGCACGGGGGCCTCGGCCAGAGCAGCAGCCGCCGAGTCACGTGCGCAAGTACAATAGCGGAAGCCAGTTGGACGTGTTCGCGGGGTTCCGCTCGCACTCGCGAACCAGCAGCAGCGGCAGTGTGACAGCAGGAGGCAGCGGAAACTGCGCGCAGTGGGAAGCGTTCGAGGCGGCGCTTTTGGCGTGTGCGGAAGCGAGTGCAGCAGGTTTCAGCTGGGGTAATCAACCAGGCTCGGATGTAGGCACGGGCTTACACGGGCCTAAATGGGGAAATCTGAGCCTTGGTCTGGGAGGCCTCGAGCTACAAGGCGCCCTCGAGTCAGCCGTGCCAAATCTGAAGCCGACCGATTTCGTGCTTCGGATGCCCTATGATGATATCAAGGGGCGATACTCACTGGGGAAGAAGGAGATTGGAGAAGGCAGGTTCGGAACCATCCGAACCTGCTTGGAGCGCGCCACAGGGCAGGTGTACGCGTGTAAAACAATATTGAAGAAGACCATTGAGGTGAGTTCAGGAATGCTACAGTTTCCCGCAAAACTAGATGGATGCAACCTCATTGTTATTTTCTTTATTTTCTCCTCGACTTACCACTAATCCTGTTTTCTTCATTTCCCTGCAGACAATTGAGGATGCTGATGATGTACGAAGGGAGGTAACCTTCCTCGCCATGCTTCGCGGCCATCCCTCAGTTATCACTCTTCAAGAGGTCTTTGAAGACGACAAGGCCATCCACTTGGTGATGGAGCTCTGTGCGGGTGGCGATCTCTTTGACCGAATCAAATCACAAGGTCAAATCCCAGAGCCAGATGCCGCACATGTGCTAAAGCAGCTCCTGGAAGCCCTGCTCCACTGCCGCTCCCTTGGCATTCTCCATCGCGACATCAAGCCCGAAAACATCCTCCTTTGTAGCCCCAGCGACAACGTCCCTATAAAGCTCATTGACTTCGGCGTGGCCACAGTGCTCGAGGAAGGCGCAATGTGCCGGGAAATGGCGGGAACACCGGAATACATGGCACCGGAGGTGCTAGACGAGTGTTACAACTACGAGGCCGATGTGTGGAGCGCCGGGGTGTCGCTCTATGTGATGCTGTCCGGCGTGCCGCCCTTCTGGGAGTCGTCCAATCGGACACTAGAGGAGGTGATAAAGAAGAAGAAGGTGGTGTTCAAGTACTGGAAGTGGGCGACTGTGTCCGAGGAGGCCAAGGACCTTATAACGAGGATGCTGGAGAAGGACCCACTGGATCGCATCACAGCTCGAGAAGTGCTTGGTAAGTCAAGAAGTTGTACCGTACTAGCAGCTAACTCATCTTAATTTTGGTGTTATTTTCTGCTTACCACTTCTAAGTTTTTCTTCATACGGTCATCATTCTAACCACCTCCGTTTTTCCAATGCTTTTTTTTTTCTGCGCGCAGCACACCCGTGGATTCAGAAGCACACCAAAGCAGCACTGTGACTGCTCTCATCCCAGTACTGCAGCAAATCTATCAACTGTAAAGGCGCACACATTATCGTCGAATTTGTGGCCGAATTTGTGTGGGTGGTGGTTATCGCCTGTCGAAGCTGCGTGCTGCAGGCTACTGATTTCCCCAGCGAGATGATGCAGCACTTTTGTGACCACCCTGTTTAGTATAGTGGTAGGAAACATTGTAGTGTACAGTTTTGAAATGTCATGTCAATGGCATTTACAATCAGGAATGAGGTGCTATGCTAACCATCTTGATGCAAACTGGCCTTTGCTAGACACCTCATTTCCTCCTCGAAACAGTAAGCTAACTAGTGCCTATTGTACATCAAGGGCGCATTCCCCCCTTCACATCCTTGCCTGGATTACCTCATTTCCGAAATATGCTGCTGTGATTCAGTGGCTTCACTAAAAGCCTCACTTTATTGAATGCCAGCAGCCACTAAGCCATCTACATACACCCATGTCAGCCGCCCCTACCCAACTTTTGGTTACAGCATGCAGCGTTTTTTACTGCAGCGCAGAGTGAGGCGATACAGGTCAATGTGGGGCGACCCTAGGCTGTTAGATCGATGCCTACGCTGCACAGATTTTGAAGTTGCCAACATGCCTGTCAGTGCTGCAACGGCCGTGTTTGTAATAGCCATTGCTTGCTGTCACGGCTCCTCCCTATCAGTCATGTATTTCACCCACGGGTGCTCTGCATGTAGCGAGTAGAGGTACATTGGAGGGGTGGACGTTGGGAGCAATGGGGGGGAAGGGGGTGTGTAAGTGCTCGTTAAACATTCACGAGCAAGACAGGATCAGCATCTTCAAACCAGCACTCACGAACCGAGCCCACCCACCCACCCCACTCCCCACCCACCCACCCCACTCCCCACCGCACCCACCACTCTCCCCACCGCACCCACCACTCTCCCCACCGCACCCAACCACCCACCACCCTCCCCAGCCCATCCAGCACTCACCGAGCACTTGAGCACCCAGGATGCGCATCTTGGGATCCTTTGTAAGCATCCTCTTCACAAGGTTCTTGGCGCTCTCGGATATGCTCTGCCAGCGCGGCGAGGAGAAGGACACCTCGCTCTCCTTGATGGCTTGGAAGATGGCCTCATTGGTGGACGCCCAGAAGGGCGGCATGCCACACAGCAGGATGTATAAGACGACGCCCGCCGACCAGATGTCGGCCTCGGGGCCGTGCGCGCCGGTGATGACCTCCGGGGCGATGTACATGGGCGTGCCCACGAACTCCATGCAGGACGCGTCTGAAAGAATGCACGCAGTGGGGTGGGCAGTGGGCAGAGCAGGCAGGATGGGGATGATTACCAGCACAGAGGCTGTATGATCCAGTGATGACCTCCGGGGCGATGCACATGGGCGTGCCCACCAACTCCATGCAGGACGCGTCTGGCAGGGGCAGGGACCAGAGCAGAGCATGTGGGGATAAATGGATGGATTGGGGTGAATGGCAGCACAGAGGCTGGAGCGATGCACATGGGCGTGCCCACCAACTCCATGCAGGACGCGTCTGGCAGGGATGCGGGGGATGGGCAGTGGGTAGAGAAGGCAGATGGATGTGGGGGAGTGGCAGCAAAGAGGCCCGTATAGGCCGGTGATGGCCTCCGTGGCCATGCACATGGGCGTGGGCCATGCACATGGGCGTGCGCCGACGAACTCCATGCAGGAGGCATCTGAAAGGGACAGGCAGTGGGCAGAGCAGGCAGGATGGGGTTCACGGGAAGCACAGAGGCCGTATGCTCCGGCGATGACCTCCGGGGCGACGAATGTGCGCGTGCCCACCAGGTCCATGCAGGGGGGTGGGAGGACCATGCAGGGATGGATGGATGACTGGAGACACCTGGCAACACAGAGACCCATGTGCTGTCTCAGCAGCTACAGGGAGTGATGAGCTATGAGAGATGACCTCTGGGGGGATGTACATGGGGGCGCGCACAGGCTACCAGACAGTCGATGCATTTGGTGGGGCCGAGGCGCGATGCACGTGGCAATGCCTATTGACTAGACACACGGCAGAGTCCCGGCCGCTAACAAAGCATTGCACCGCACCGCACCGCACTCAGCCACTCCCCACCCCCTCACCTGGCTCAATGAAGGTGGCGACCCCGAAATCAATGAGCTTGACCTTCGTGTCGTCCTGCGTGTCGCAGATGAGCACGTTCTCGGGCTTGACGTCGCGGTGCATGACGCCCGTCCCATGGCAGCACAGCAGCGCCTCCACCAGCCCGCGCAGCACCGCAGCCGCCCCCTCCTCGCTGTAGGGGCCGTGCGTCTTCACTCGGTCGTGCAGGTCGCCCCCCGTGCACATCTCCATCACTATGTGCACGTCCTGGGGGGGGGAAGAAAGGGGAGTGGGACAAGAAAGGGGAAAAGGGGGATATGTTGAGTCGATGGAGAGAATAAGTGTTGCAGGTCGCCCCCCGTGCACATCTCCATCACTGTGTGCACGTCCTGGGGGGGGGAGGAGAGGAGGGGGGGGGGAAGCGGGGTGGAGAGGGGCAGAGGGCATACATCAGGTTGAATCAGACTAATACACGTTGCAGGTCGCCCCCCGTGCACATCTCCATCACTATGTGCACGTCCTGGGGGGGGGGGGGGAGGGGGGAAGGCGGAAGCGGGAGGAAGTGGGGTGGATGCTATGAGCTGACTTAGAATACACATTGTTGGTCGCCCCCCGTGCACATCTCCATCACTATGTGCACATCTTGGGGGGGGAGGGGAGAGGGGAGGATTGGCGGAGGGCATACGTGAGGTTGAGCCAGAATACATGTGCAAGGTGGGACATTACGAGTTGACTCAGACTATATGTACACTAGGTTGCCGGTCGTGCATCTCACGGGAAAAGGAGGAGGGGGGTTGAGTGGGTGAGGGGAGAGTGGAGTAAACTGCAAGTGAACGTGAAAGGAGAGTGATGTTGAAACCTTAGGTGAGAAAGGAAAGGTCAACAGGAGCGCGTGATTTTCCTGACAGCACACGAAACACACCGACTCGCCGTACTCTCTGCTGCCCTGCTTGCAAGCAACGCACCCGCGAGTCCTCAAAGGGGTCACACATGCGGATGATGTGGGGGTGGCCGTTGAGCATCTCCATCACCGCCACCTCCATGCCCCCCATGGCCCCATGCCCCCCCCCATGCACACCATGCCCCCCAGTACCCACCCTTGAATCCTCGAATGCGTCGCACATGCGGATGATATGGGGGTGGCCGTTGAGCATCTCCATCACCGCCACCTCCATGCCCACCGCCTCCGCATCGTCCGCATACTGCATCACATCGTGGGGTGAGGTGGGGCGTGGTGGGGCGTGGTGAGGCGTGGTGTGGTGGGATTGGGCGTGGCATGGCGTGGCATGTCAGTCATTGGATGGGGTGAGATGGCATAGGATGAGGTGAAATGACATGGCACGTGTTGATGTTTGGGCTGGGTTGCATGTGTAAGGGGAGCGGAATCCAGATGGCGCCGCAATGCATCGCAAAGCTCTCTCCGGCCTTGCTGACCCAGAAAGCGTGCGTTGTGCTGACATAGAAAGAGCGCACACTGACCTGGAAGGTGCTCTTGCTGATGCTCTTACACGCCAGCACCTCCCCGGTCTTGAGCTTCACACAGCTGCGGATGATCCCAAACTGCCCCGTGCCCAGGGGCGCCCTCTCCTGCAGCATGTACTCGCGCTCTATGCTGCGGTACGGGCGCCGCAGAATGAACCGCGGGCACTGAAGCCCCGGGAGCATCTCGGGCGGCATCATGCCGCCCAGCTGCCCCGGCAGCATGCCGCCCGGAAACCCGCCCGGGAAGCCGGGGATTTCCGGCGGCTGCCCGGGGAACTGCCCGGGAGGAAGCTGCCCCTGCATGCCTTCCGGCATGGGCTGCCCGGGGAGAGGGAATGGGTATCCGGGCAGAGGGAAGGGCTGCCCGGGAAAGGGAAATTGCTGGTCTCCTTGGGGGAAGGGCTGAGAGGGGTCCGGAAACATCTGCCCGGGGATGAGCTGCTGCTGCCCGTTCATGTCTGGGAGCATCCCAGGGGGGAAAATCTGCCCGGGAAATTGCGGGGCGCCATTAGGCAGAGGCATGGGCATGCCATTCATCATCATGTGTGGGGAGCCATCACCATGCATGGCCCCATGCATTTGACCATCCATGCCCATGCCGCTACCCCCCATGCCCCCACCCATCCCCCCTGGCAGTGCCCCATTGGCTGAGGGCCGGCCGTCCCGTGTCATGTCAGCGCCAGCCGGGTCATCCCGGGGTGTTGCCACGTCAGCATCGTCCATGTCAAACTCAAAGGCATCAGCTTCCTGACTTCCCCTCCCATGCGCCTCCCCCTCCCCCTCACCCTCCTCTCCCTTTCCCTCCCCCTCCCTCCCCCTTTCCCCCACTTTCGCCCTTGCCCGCTTCCCCTCCGCCCCTCCTTCCCCCCCCCCACTCACCCCCCCCCTCCCCCCCTTCCAAAATCGCCCCCACCCCCCACGCGCCCCGCTTCCCCCCTCTCCCCCCGCCCGCCCCGCCCTCAGGCGACCCAATAGACGCCCGGCTGGAATGCCGCGACAACCGCCGCCCGCCGCCGCCCAGGACGACGCTGCCCTCATCGGCACTGTACACGGGCGAGCACACGTCCACCAGCGAGCACACTCCCACTGACCCCTCTGGGCTTCCACACACCTCCCCTCCTCCTGTGCTTGCTCCCCCTCCTGCCCCCCTCTCTGCTTCGCTCGCTGCTGCTCCCAGCCATGGGCCTTGACCCTGCTCTGCTCTGTCCTCCAGCCGCTGCTGCTGCTGCTGCTGCTGCTGTCGACTTTGTTGTTGCCATTGTTGCTGTTGCTGATGCTCATCCTGCTGATTTTGCTGCTGATAGTGGTTGTGGTAACTGCTGTTCCGGTCATTCCCATGCCCCCAGAACGACAGCCCTTCTCCTTCCCCGCCCGCAGCACCCCCACCAGACCCCATTCTCTCTCCCCCCCCACCCCCTTCCCCTGGCGCCCACACTGCCACCTCGGCCAGGGGCGGGCTAGAGAGGGCGGATTCGGGGGAGCTGAGGCCAGCAGGGGAGAGGCTGCTGGAGAGGGGAGGACTGAGAGAGTCAGAGGGCAGATGCGAGGGGTGCGTGCCGGCACCACCTGCTGCTCCTGCTCCTCCTGCTGTTGCTGTTGACCCGCTAGCCAATGGTGACCCTGGCCGGCCGGCAGGAAGATCCAGGGCTGCCGGCCGCATCGCCATTGGACGAGAGGACGGCCGGGCGGCAGGGGCCACTGTAGCTGGGGCTACAGTGACCGGCCGGTTCCCTCCACTGGATCCTGGCCTGGCCAGCAATCGGCCGGCAGAGACCTGGCCGGCGAGGGACTGTAGCGAGTCGGCAGCATTCTCAGCCAGCCCTCCTCCCGCCCAGCTGCCGTAAACAGCCGCCTCCCCCTCCCGCGACACAACAGCACCTGGAAAAGCACTTGAGGAGGCACCTGAGGGGGCGGCATGGGAGTGGTGCTGCAGGCGGGCAAGAGCAGCTCTCATGAGGTCCTCTGCGCCCTCCACGCCCATGAGGCGCCGTGACAGGCGCAGGCCCCCCCGGGGCGTCATGATGAACCCCGGTGATGAGGGCGTGGCGGGGCGGGAGGATGGCGTGTCAGGCCGTGAGGCGGGCGTGTCGGGTCGGGAGCTCCCTCGGGAACTCACCTGCCCGTCCTTGTCTGCTGCTGCTGCCGCTGATGCCGCGGCTGCTGCTCCCATGTGGTTGTGCATGGGGTGGTGGTGGTGAGGGTGCGAGGGCACTTCAACAGAGAAGCCCGGGCGTGTGGAGGAGGTTTCTCGCACCGAGGTCGACCGCAGCACTGCAGCGCTGCTGCTGCTGCTGCTGCTGCCTGCCTTGCCGCCCTTGCCCCTGCCCGCACCGCCGGCAGCACCGGCACCAGCAGCAGTGGAGGAGGAGGAGGGGTGGGCGGGAGAGAGGTCGCGGGAGGGCATTAGAATGTCCTCCATCTCGCGGGTCTGCTGCCACGGGTTCACATGCTGCTGCCGCCGTGCTGCTGCTGCTGCAAGTCCCATCGCCCCCAACCCTGCCCCCCCTGCCGCTGCTGGTAGTCGCGGCGATATCACCCGTGGCGAGTGTACCAACTCTGCTCCCCCTGACTGCTGCTGCACCTGCCCCTGCTGCACCCGCCCCTCCTGCTCCTCCCCCTCGCCACTCCTCCCCGCGCTCACCCCCGGGCTGCCCTTCTCACTCACCGACTCACCTCCCTCCTCTTCCTCATCCACAACAGCAGTGGCCCTGTCTAGAGGCGCCAGGGGCACGGCATTCACAACGTCATCGTCCAGATCCATTGAATCTTCCCTCGCATGCCTCCCCCCACGCCCCCCCTGCTGCTGCACCCCCTGCTGCGCCCCCTGCTGCCTCGGCTCCCACCCCCCCTCACCCTGCTGCTGCTGCTGCTGCTGCTGCCCTGGCTGCGTCCCTTGACTGCCTTGACTGGCTTGACTGGGCAGGGACGGGCGGGGGGAGGGCGGCAGCAGCGGGGCGGGGACGTGCACGAGGGGCCTGGCGTCCACCACATCGTCCCCCATGTCCTCGCTTGCCTCTCTTGCATGCCGCCTTGGTTGGCTGTCTTGACTGCCTTGACCGTATTGACTGGCTTGACTCGCTTGACCTTGACTGTGATGGTCGCGCGGTGGATCTGACAGTCGCCTCCTCACTCCCTCACTAGCCTGCTCCTTCCACGAATCTTCCACCGTATCAGCAAACATGACCCCTCGGGAACCCCCCTCCTTCTGAGACCGGGATCGCGTCAGCTCCCCCCGCGCCCTCCCCCCACCCACCGCCCCCGTCCCTGCCCCACCTGCTGCTGCTGCTGCTGCTGCCCCGCCTGTGCGCTCCTCCCCTGCACCCCCTTCCAGATCACCCAGTAGCAGCCCGCGCGCTCCACCTTCCCGGGACGACCTTGCTCGCAACAGTGTCTCCCTCCCCCCCACGCCTCTCTCCCCCATGCCTCTCGCCTCCCCCATGCCTCTCGCATCCCCCCTTCCCCCTTGCACCTCCGTATCAAGGTCTGCCCACCCCACCTCCCTCCGCCGCCCCACCGACACACTCCTGTCCTCCTCTCCCCCCCTCCCGCGCCTCTCATGCTCCGCTCTCTCGTTCCTCTCACTCCTCTCACTCCTCTCGCTCCTCTCCCCATCCCCATGAGCCTCCAGCAGCCCAGCAGCGCCCGACCGGCTCCGCAGCAGCCGCCCATTCCGCTCCTCGCCGTCCCCCTTGCCGCCCCCCCCTCTCCCCACCCCACCCAACCCACCTGCTGCTTGCGCCCTCCCCGCCCCCTCCCTCCCTGCACCCTCTCTTGCGCCGCTGTGCTCTCTGCCTGCCCCTCTGGCCAGCCCAGGACCATCCATGCTAGCACGCCCTGTAGTACTCATTCCCATTCCCACCCCCAACCCCATGTCCACGCCCACGTCCAGGCTCATATCCACCCCGCCAATCACAAAGTCTGACCGCGTGCGCTGGTGCCGCCCCCTCCCTGCCCTCCCCTCCCCTCCCGCCCCCGCTCTTCCCCCCGCCCGCACCACTCCTCCCCTCCCCCCAGCTGCTCCCCGTCCTCCCACCCCTCGTCCCCCCGCTCCTCCTGCTGCTGCTGCTGCTGCTCCAGGCGTCCCTTCCGGGCCCAATACTAGCGATCCTTTCACATCACCTGCCCCTGTCCGTCCCACCCCCCCATCCCAGTCATCTAGTGAACCTCGCCCCCCCCTTCCGCCCCTCCCTCCTCTCCCTGCCGCCCCCACCCCTCTCCCTCCCCCACCCTCCCTCACATCCACCCCCCTCTCCGCCAACTCTTTCCCCCCCTCTACCCCCGTCTCCCCCAACCCCAGTTCCCCACCAAAACCGCCCAGCACCAGTCCCCCCTCTGTCCGCTGCCGTCTGTGCCCCCTCCCCCCTCCCCTTCCCCCTGCCCTTCCCCCTGCGCCCGCTCCCCTCCCCCCCATGCCCCCTGCCTGCCCGCCCCTCTGCTGCAGCAGCTGCTGCTTCACCTGCTGCAGCCGCATCTGCTGCTGCTGCTGCTCCTGCTGCGCGCTCAGCTGCTTATGCACCCCCTCCCCTCCCTCTCCCGCTAGCAACAACCCTGCGCCCATGCCCCCTGCGCCACCTCCCCCAGCTCCCCCTCCCCCTGCTGCCGAGCCGCTGTCTAGAAGGCTCCACGACTGCTTCAGCTTCTGCTGCTCCTCGGGACTTAGCAGCGACAGCAGGTTGTTCAGGGCCTGAGATATGTCCACTGGCTTGCGCCCCGAACCTGCCGGCTTGCCATGGGCCGAGCCAAGGCCTCCCGGGCCTGACCCCGACGCAGTAACGGACCTGACAAGCGGCGGCGACGAGGAAGAGCCTGCCGAACCTGTAGACGTGGCTGGTTCGGCGTGAGGCCTGGGGAATCTGTTGCGACTGGAGGGTGCTATTGTAGGGTCGGAGTAAACCGGGCCTACAGTGGTGTTAGGGGCAGCAGTGGAAGCACTTCGGGGAAACTTGGAGAGCAAGGGGGGGGCAGCGGAGGAGGCAAGAGAGGAAGAGGCGAAGCTAGAGGCTGATGTGATGGAGGAGGGCGAGGACATGGGGGGGGAGGAGGGGCGCATGGAGGGGGATGGAGGGCGGATGGACGGGGAAGGGGAGCGTGGGGAAGGGGATGGAGGGCGGAGGGAGGGGGCGGAGGAGCGGAGGGACGGGGAGGAGGAGCGTAGGGAAGGGGAGGAGGGGCGTAGGGAGGGGGAGGAAGGGCGGAGAGAGGAGTGGTGCGGGGCAGAGGGCGCAGGGGGGGCGAGGCGAGGAGGGGTGGAGTTGCGGGCGGCATGGGGGGGGAGGGGGGCGCGGGACTTGTCTGAGAAGCGCCTCTGCAGGCGCGCTTCACTGCCACTCAGCTGCTCGGGGGGGGACGGGGAGTTGGCAGCAAATAGGGGAACGCGGGTGAGTGAGAGAGAGTGGATGGCGGGCAGGAACGAACGGCACTGGCTAACAAGCACAGCAAGAGCGAGAGTGAGTGGCGAGAAAAGTCTACCCACAGGGAACTTAAGACACAGCAAGGGAAAGGTATTGCTGCAAAGGGTGCAGCAGAACGTGCAACAGACAGGCGTCATGTGGCGCACTCACCTCCCCACTGCTCGACCCAGTGAAGTCCAACTGCTGCACCACGTCCCTCCCCCTCTCCCCCTCATCCCCTCTCCCTCTCTCCTCCCCCTCCCCCTCCCTCTCCCTCTCCCGCTCCCTCTCCCGCTCCCTCTCCCGCTCCCTCTCCCTCCGCTGCACGCCATCTCCTCCCTCCCCCGCCCCTCCCCCTCCCCCTCCTCCCCCTCCTCCCCCTCCTCCTCCTCCTCCTCCTCCCGCTGCTCCCTTATCCGGCGTCCGGGACTTCACGAATTTGCGCCATTTAGACACAATGTTCTTTGCAGCATTCTCCACGGGGGACGAGTCCCCCCCGCCACCCTTCTGCCCCCCATACCTCTCCCGCCCCCGCCGTTCCTCCCCATACCCCTCATCCACACTGCCTACCACCCCCCCCACCTCGCCTCCCCCCACTCCCCTTCCTCCTCCCATCCCCTCGCCGCCCGCCCCTCCACCTCCCCGCCCTCTCCCCCCCATTCTCCCCCCTGGCCCTGCTCTTCCGCCCATTCCCACCTCCCCTCTCCCCCCTCCCTGCATCCTCTGCTGCGCAGCGCTCTTCTGCCCGCCATCCATCTCCCCTTGGTTCTGCCACACCTGCGCCTGCTGCTGCTGCTCGCGCTGCTCCAGGGGTTGCTGCCATGACATGCGCCGCTGGTGCCCCCCCCCTGCCCCTGGGGGACCGCCCCCGCGCGAACCAGCGCCATGGGGGGCCGCTGCTGCGCCCCTCTCCTCTCTCCCATACGCACCACCATCACCAGCAACACTTGCAGCAGCAGAAGCACCGTCCTCCCCGTCACTCTCCTCCCCCCCCCACACCCGCATCACATCCGCCCCTCCTTCTCCTCCCCCTCCCCCTGCCCCTCCCCCTGCCCCTCCCCCTCCCCCCTTTCCATGCATCCGCACGTTCTGCAAGCGCCTCCCCGCGCCCCCCTCCCCTCCGCGCAGCATTCCTTCTATGTTGGACGACGTGCGGGAAGCAGCCGACAAAGGCCGCCCACTGCCGCCCCACAGCTCCCCCGAAGCAGCACCTGCCCCGCTCCCTCCCTCACCCGCCCCACCACCTGCCATCAACCTGCTACCACTGCTGCCATGCTGCTGCGAGTGCTGCTGCTGCTGCTGGTGGTGGCTCTCCCCAGGGGCATGGGGGCGCGGGGGGAAGTCCTTCTTGGGAACAGTGGGGGGGGTGCCAGGGCGCCGCGAGTCTATCTTGTGCCGCCACTTGCTCAGCACCTGCCGCGCCAGTGACGCCTCCCCGCCCCCGCGCCCCCCTCCGCCTCCCCCTCCGCCATCCCCCCTGCCTGCAGCCCCCCCAAGCGCGCCGCTGCTGGTGTTGGGGCGCGGGTCCCCTGGCGATCTGGGCTCAGGGTCGCTGTTAGCTCGGTTGAATAGCCGCTGCCGGGGGGTGCCAGCCCCATCCATGCCCGCACCTCCAGACGCAGCAGCAGCCGCTGCAGCTGCAGCCGCAGCAGCGGCACGGTCAGCAGCGTCAGCAGCGCGTTCGGCAGCGTAGGCAGAGGCGGAAGGAGCAGGGGCGGCAGTGGCAGGTCGCTCTGGTGCCCCTCTCCCCGCCCCCACGCTGATCCTCTGAGCGCCTTCAGACGCCTCGTCGCTCCTGCTGGCTGGTACCCCTATCGTTCTCCACCTTCCCGAACCCCTTCCCACCTCTCCTCCCCGCCCTTGCAGTCCCCCCAACCCTCCGCCCGCCCCTTCCCCCCCAGCTCCCCCTATCCCCCCATTCCCCCACTTCTCAGGGGACACGCGGCTGCTTGTCCGCGGATCAACCCCCGAAACGGTGTGCCTGGGGGGAGTCCGCGGAGCAACCCCGCCCAACCCCGCCTCCCCCTCCCCCATCCCTGCTCCTCCCTCACTCGAGTGCTCGGAAGGTTCCTGGTAAGAGGAGGAGGAGGGGAACCAGCCTGCGAGGCTCATGGGGGAGGCGTCAGGCGGCTGGTTCCAGGGGAGGTGCGATCTGGGGTCGAGGTCTACTGAGGCCGAGGGGAGGTGGGACCTGGGGGGGTGGTGGGACGCGCGGGAGGGGAATGAAGGGGTTTGGTCGGGGGGTTGGTGGTGGGCGTGGGAGGAGGAGGAGGAGGGGAAGGGGAAGGACACGTCTTCTGTGCTGCTGCTGTCGCTGTGGGAGTTGGGCACAGCAAACGCAATCGCCATATCCTGAACGGGGCGCCCGTCAGCAGACTCTGATGCTGATTCCGCCCCTCTAGAGACGTCTTTAATCGCCTGCTTGGACGCGCTGCCTGTCTGATTGGTCCCGCTGGCTATCGGGGTTCCGAAAGGGACTGGACTGGGCGGCTCAGACTTTATACTCGTGAAGAACATATTCGTTATGCTGTCGGGCAGCATGCTTAGCACATCCCCGACCACTATCTCCGGCCCACCCGCCCCACTCCCCCCTCCCTGCGCCGCTCCCCCAGCACCCTCCCCCCTGCGCACGCCCGCTTCCCCCTTTGCTTCCCCCTTCCCCGTTCCCCCCGTCTTCCCCGTTCCGTGCTCCCCCTCCCCTTCCGCGTCTGAGGCCTCGGAGCTGGAGCGGGAGGGAGCCTGCTTCACGGGGAACGGCCGCCCCAGCATGTCTGTAGCGGCAGGGGATCGGTTCTCCGGGCTTATCGCCAGGAAACCCGTGCTCGCCATGCGATCTAGCCTCAAACGCGGAGGGGTATTTCCAACTCCAGCCCGCGGGCCCGCACTGGCTGCCTGCTGCGATTGGGGGAGCTGCATGGGGGAAAGGTGGCTCCGCTTAGGCTCGAAATCCGCTTGCGCGGAAGCCCCGTCTCTTCCTCCGCGTCCGCTTATGGGCTTCGCGGGGCTGCCATCCCGCAAGCCCCCCATCCTCCCCTCACCCGCGTTCTGCGCCGATGGCAGCGCAAGCGCTGCGCCGCTGCTGGCCCTCCGCTCATGGTGCACCCTCGGCGCGCTGGTCGACCGCTCCGCCCCCTCCGCCAGGCCCTCAGCCAAGCCTTGCGCGTTCCGCGCGCGCGGAGCGACCTGAGGGGAGACGTGGGGAGCTTGCCCGTGCGTCTGGCGCTTCAGCACCTGCTGCTGCAGCGGCGGATGCTGCGGCGGTTGCTGCGGAGGGCGCTGCTGCTGCTCGTTCGAACCCGCCTTTCGCGGCGGGCCTAGCGGCTGCTGCCCTTGCCGCAATCTCGACCGTTCCTGCTGTTGCGACTGCGCGCTGATGCGACCTCCAGCCGTCGACTGCTGCCCGTGCGGGCTTTCCTCCGCCTCCGTTCTCTCGCTTCGCCATTCCTCACGAAAACGAGAAGTAACCTCTTCGCCCCCACTACTGCACTCCTCCTCCCGCGACTCTCCCCGCGTTTCCCGGCTCGGCGGCCTATCCTCTTCCCGCAATTCCCGGTCTGACGACCGATTGTCACATTCTGACGTGGAGCTAGCAGCTGCTGAGGTGGCTGCGGTGGCTGCGCCGCGTTGCGCCCTCTGAAGGGCGTCCCATACAGTGCTGCGCTCGGGCGCGGAAATATTCGACTTTAACGAGCGGCCCCCACTACTAGAACTTCGGCTGCTGTCAGAGGCTGTAACGGCGGCGCCAGTGGCGGCCTGTGGAGCTCGGTTGGACCGTAGCGCGCTCGAGATACCGCGAAACACGGAGCGATGCTTCGTGGCAACGGGTGGGGTGTCCCGCGCGACCGACTGAACCTGCTCGAGGCCTCGTTCTCCTCCCATCCCTGCTGCCCTCGCCGCTCGTCCCTGTAACGGGAACTCTTTATCGGGGATGCTCATGTACCAATGCCTAAAAGCATTGCGTCATAGTCTTCAACACACACAAAAAACTTAATTAGGGTTCGAGACACTATGGAAACAGCTGTTCCAGGCGCACGTGGTGGTTATAAAGTTTCTACCTAAAAACACCTGCAGCGGTTTCACCACCTGGTTCGCCCTTCTCTGCCTCCTATCAGTCACACTCCTGTCCCTCCATCCATCCGTACTCGAATTGGTTGCCAAGGGTGTCCCCCCTCCCACCACTGCTTTCTGTGTGTCGTGTTGCGCTGGGCTGAGTTGGGATGGTCTGGGTTGGGTCGAGTTCGGTTGGGATGAGTTGGGAAGCGTGGAGTTCCCAAGGCCTCGCAAAAGTGTCTGTGGTTGTGCGCCGTGCTACTGCTGTTGGTTGCTGGGTCCGTTTCGCTGGTCCCTTGCGCTGCTGCTGCTGCTGGCGCTCGTTTCGTGCATCCCCCTCGAGATGTCGAACAAGAGTCAAGTTCGATGAAATCCTCTTTATTGAATCGCTCATTTGCGACAAGGAAATGTAACGGCGGGCAGAGTTGACCACTGAACCAACCGATAATATACCACATCATAACCAACAAACGCACGGCAGTACGGTACAAGGAGGATTAAATACAAGGGCAGCTAAAATGCTGCAGCGTGTCGGCATGGTGCTTGTTAAGTACACTAAATTCTTGTGAGCAACTACATAAACCGCTCCCCATAAATTAATCACAAGTGGTAATCTGGCATAGATCAGCTTGTCATAAATTAAATGTATCGAATGCGCATGTCACCACCACTAGCTAAATCGGTGCTTCGAATATAATCCCATTATTGGTACCTGCGAATCCATGGATGACCTGTTGAGTGAGGGTGCAAGGCATAGGAGGAGGTGGAGGACGGTGGTCAGGACAAGAAGAACAAACACAGAAGGACGAAATGTCACGCCAACTTCAACAAGGACTCGACAGGTGAAAGTGAGACGGCACAAGGCGACTTCGTTACTGCTACCATCATGTATCATGCCCTGCTCACCAGAATCTACCTGCTCCGTTTCCGCATTTTGCTGATAAAATCTCCTCGGCCCTCCCACGCTGACATGGGAGAGGAAATCATCACAGAGACACATGCCGCCCGGTGCCTGCCATTCCCCCCCCCCCCCCCTTCCACTCTCCCGCCCCACCTTCGCACTCACCCAGGATTTCCAGTGCCGTTATCCTCTCCTGTGGATCCTTTGTAAGCATCCTCCTTACAAGGTCCTTGCACTCCTCGCTCGCGTTCGCCCACTTAGCGGATTTGAAGCTCACAGAGCCCTTCAGAATCGCCTCCGCCACGCACTTGCGTGTCGACGCCCAGAAGGGCGGCACGCCGCACAGCAGGATGTATAAGACGACGCCCGCCGACCAGATGTCGGCCTCGGGGCCGTATGACTGCAGCAGCACCTCTGGCGCCATGTACTCTGGCGTGCCCAGCACCTCCGTGAGCCGCTTGCCTGTGGCAATCAGTGCAGATTGTGTGGAAACGGGGAAAGGAAAACCATGAGAAGAGGCATTCGGGAGCCATGCACTTTCGGGTGGCAATGGTAGCGGCAGGAGCAGGAGAAGGGGCAGTGGCAGCAACAGCAGCAGTGGCAGCTGCAGCAGACCTTAACAGCCACTCGCCTGGATCAAAGAGCATCGCGACCCTAGAGTCAACGAGCTTGATGCGGGAGTTGTCGGAGCGGGAGCGAGAGAAGAGGCAGTGGCAACAGCACAAACACCAGCAGCAGTCGCCTGAACAAGCACTAACCAGGGTCAAAGAAGGTGGCAACCCCAAAGTCCACGAGCTTGATCCTTGAGTTCTCCGATCGGTCGCAGAGCAGGATGTTTTCGGGCTTGATGTCGCGGTGCAGGATGCCGTGGCAGTGGCAGTGCAGCAGCGCCTCCACCAGCGCTCGGCACAGCCGGGCGGCACACTGCTCCGACAGCCGCCCGCTGCTGCTCACCCGGTCGAAGAGGTCGCCGCCCTGACACAGCTCCATCACTATGTGGATGTTCTGAAGAGGGGGGGAGAGAGGGGAGAATGGAGGGAAAGAGAATGGAGGGAAGGGGGAAGATAGGGGGAAGGGTGTGAGGAAAGAGGGGCTAAGGAGGTGACAGCCCTGACACAGCTCCATCACTATGTGGAAGTTCTGATGGGGGGAGATGAGAGCGTGGGGGGGGGGGAGGTCGAGGAGAGAAGGGAATGAGTGGAATGAGGGGAGAGGGGAATGAGGGAATGAGGGGTCAAGAAGGTTCGCTGCCCTGACACAGCCCCATCACCATGCGGATGTTCTGCAGGGGGAGAAAAGAGGAGTTACGGAGACTTTTGAGTCGACTCAAAAGTCACCGGGTCGACTCAAAAGTCACTTCTGCAGGGAGAGAAAAGAGGAGTTAAGGAGAAGGGTGTGGGGAGCGAGGGATGAAAGAGGTCGTCGCCCTGACCTGTGACATGGCTCCATTACTATGTGGATGTCCTGTGGGGAGGAGAAAGAGGGGGAAGAGGGGGGTTTGGGAGCGGGGAGTCGGGTGTGAAGGGAGAGAGGTTGGGAGGTCGCTGCCTTGACACAGCTCCATCACTGAAGGGAAAGAAAAGGGGAGGAGAGGCGAGGGGTGTGAGGGGAGGTGGGTAAGGAGATAAATGGAGGCGTGTGACGGGGAGGGATGGAAAGGGAGAAGGGTTACGGAGGTGGCCGCCCTGACACAGCTCCATCACTGTAGGGAAGGAAAGGGGGGAAGACGGGGGAGAAAAGGGGTGGGAGTGAGGAGAGAGGGGTGTGACGAAAAGGGTGCGAAAATGGACAAGGGTGTGAGGGGAGAAGGGTGTGAGCAAAGAGGGATGTGAGGGGAAGAGTTATGTGAGGGGAAGAGGCATGTGAGGGGAAGAGGCATGTGAGGGGAAGGGGGTGATGGGTTGGAAAAGAATTTGAGAGGGCACTGCTTTGATTGAGAGACTGTGAGTTGGCTGCACATGGCCTCTCTTGATCCACCTGCTGCACTTGATACTTCCAATTACCTCTACTAACCCCCCACCTCCTCGTCTAACACCATGGCTTTAAGAGTCAGTAAGGTGGGATGGATGGCGGCGCTGTAAATCATCCGATTCTACAGCTGCACTGCACTGCACCCAACGCTTCAACAAAGCCATCCTGTACCTCTAACTCGTCGTCTTGCACCAAGTCTCTGAGAGCGGTAATGGTGAGTGGCTCTGCAAGAACTCGCCTGTAGCTGCAGCTGCACTTAGTGCCTGGGGTGCGGTGGGGCTATGGGGTGATTTGTAAGTTACGATTGCAGTGGCACATGGGGCCTTGAGTGTGGTAGGGTCATGGGGTGGTTCGTAAGCTACAGCTGCAGCGGCATTTGGTGCCGGGCAAACCACCCCATACCCCTACCTCGTCGACTGTGTCCTCCCCAACTGTGTCTCTGTGCGTGGCTGGACAATCACCCACTCAACCCATGACCCCTCAAACCCACCGCATTACCACGCACCACCCTATCCTCGTACCTCCTCATCCTCCACGCCGTCTCTGAGAGTCGCGATGGTGGGGTGGTTGAGCATAACTGACAGCCCTACCTACCACTCTACCACCATACCACCGAACCTCCATACCACCGAACCTCCATACCACCGAACCTCCATACCACCGAACCTCCATACCACCAAACCTCCATACCACCGAACCTCCATACCACCGAACCTCCATACCACCGAACCTCCACAGTACCTCTTCATCCTCCACGGTGTCTTTAAGGGTGACGATGGTGGGGTGGGTGCGCAGCAGCGTGAGGCACGCCACCTCCTTGCGGATGTCCTCCGCGTCCTCCTTCGTCTGGCGGGTGTGAGGGAGCAAGGGAACAAGCAGGGGAGCAGGCGAAGAGGGGAGGAGGGTGAGGAGGGTGAGGAGGGTGAGGAGGGTGAGGAGGGTGAGGAAGAGCAGCGTGAGGCACGCCACCTCCTTCCTGATGTCCTCCGCGTCCTCCTTCGTCTGGGGGGCGGCAAGCAGAGGGGATAAGGGGATCAGGGTGAGAAAGGACGAGGTTGGGCGAGAGGAGCAGCAGCAGCGTGAGGCACGCCGCCTCCTTGCGAATGTGCTCTGCGTCCTCCTTTGTCTGGCGGGTGTGACAGGGGAAAAGGAGAGCAGGAGGGCAGGAGAGCAGGGGAAGAGGGTGAGGGGCAGCAGAGTCAGGCACGCCACGCCCTTCTGGATGCGTCCGTGTCGTGGCTTGTCTGGGGAAGTGGGGGCGCAAGAGCACTGGGCACATGGATGATGGATGGGGGCAGAGGAGGGGTGATGGATAGGCGCAGAGGGGTGGTGGATGGGCGCAGAGGGGTGGTGGATGGGCGCAGAGGGGTGGTGGATGGGCGCAGAGGGGTGGTGGATGGGCGCAGAGGGGTGGTGGATGGGCGCAGAGGGGTGGTGGATGGGCGCAGAGGGGTGGTGGATGGGCGCAGAGGGGTGGTGGATAGGCGCAGAGGGGTGGTGGATGGGCGCAGAGGGGTGGTGGATGGGCGCAGAGGGGTGGTGGATGGGCGCAGAGGGGTGGTGGATAGGCGCAGAGGGGTGGTGGATGGGCGCAGAGGGGTGGTGGATGGGCGCAGAGGGGTGGTGGATAGGCGCAGAGGGGTGATGGATGGGAGCAGAGATGAAGGGGGTGACGAAGAGACGAGAAGGGGAGAAAGAGCACCAGACAGCACGCCACAGCACCACCCTGAATACTCTCCTCCTCGTTCTTTCAGTTTGTTCCATTTCCAACCTGCCTCTCCCTCTGTTATTTTTTACCCCTTTCTGTGAATCTCACCTGAATACATTTCTTGTTGATTGTCTTGCAAGCAAACACCTGCCCGGTTGCCACCTCCATGCACGGCCGAATAATTCCAAACTGCCCGCTGCCCAGCTCCTTACTATGCAGAACAAATAGGCCTTTAATCTCCCCATACTCCTTCCTAAGAACGTGGTCCCGTGGCGGAAGCCCCTCGTACTGCCCGAAAACATCTGCCACATTGCCCGAAAAACTCGCTGGCTTGCGCACGCCCGCGCCCAGTGTAGCGTTCAGCTGCCGCCCCTGCTGCTGGCGGTGTGGCGCTACCACCTGAGAAAACACCTGAGGAACCACCTGGGGCTGCAGGCGAGCCTGCTGCTGGTTCTGCCCGGATTGCCCCATGTGACTCTGCGCCCTGGTTCCATCCAAATCCAATATCTCTGTAACCCCTTGCTGTTGCTGCCGCTGCTGCTGCTGCATTAGCTGCTGTTGCTGTAGCTGCATTAGCTGCTGCTGTTGCTGCTGTTGCTGCTGTTGGAACAGCGCCTTAGAAGCAGCAGCAGCAGCAGCAGCAGCGTTGGGAGCAGCGGCAGTGCGAGGGGCAGCCGCGGCAGCAGCGGAGGCGAGAGCAAGGTGTTTGGACGCCTCCGCAAGCGCCGCAGCCGTGACCAGCCTGTCTCCTGCAAACCCTGAGATAGACGATGACGGCCGATGCCTCCCCACCACTCCCACTCCGCCCCCAATGCCCCCGCCTCCGCCCCCTCCCCCCGCGCCCGCCGCCCCTCCTCGCCTTCCCCCTGCCCCTGCGCCCCAAGCTACTGCGCCCACCCCTCCTGTCACAGGCCCCAAGGCGGGTTGGTTGAGCAGCCTGGCGAGGCTGGGCGGGGAGACATGATCCAGGTGGTACCCGGACAGGCGCAGCTGCGCCTGCAGCGCCACGTGCTGCTCCCCACCCCCGCCCCCCGCACCCCCCCCGCCCCCGCCCCCGCTCCCGCTCACGCCCCCGCTGGCGCTGGCGCGCTTGAGGGTCTGGCGCAGGGGGCCTGCGGGCTTCAGCGCCTCCCCCGGGTTATTCAGTACGAAATCCGCGCTGCCTGTGCGCCGGTGACGTGCCGCTCTCCTATTGGCTGCTGCTCGCGCTGCTGCCGCGGAGACGGGAGAAGCGCCGCCTAACGAGGCGCCTCCTGCGCCTCCTGCTGCTGCCGCCGCCGCCGCTTCCGCTGCTGCTTTCTGTGCGCGAGCTGCCGCCGCCACATCAGCAGCAGCGACAGACGCGGAAGCGCGTGCGGCCGCAGCGGCAGCGGCGGCGGCAGCAGCGGCGGAAGGCGAGGGTGAACTGTGCACGTACCCGCCCAGCCCCCCCCCCGCCTGCAGCTCCATCCATTTCTGGGCTATCTGAGTAATTTCCCCTAAGGAAATCCCCACTGGAGCCCCTGCTGCGGCTAGCGCAGCAGCTGCTGCAGCGGAAAGCGCGGATGGATAATCACCACTCCCCCCGCTGCTGCTCCCGCCACTGCCAACGCCACTGGAGGCGGATCGATGGCCTGTGGACACCCGCTGCTTCACAGGACGATTGCACGCCCCCGCATCCCCGTTACTAGTTCCCCCGTTACCAGCACCCGAGTAACCTACAAAGTCACCTGCGCCTGCGCGCCTACCTGAAATTCCACCTGAAATTCCACCTGAACGCGCGACGCCTCCTGAGGGAACCCCCAGGGACATGTGCGAGAGGGCGCGCATCTCCTCTTCCCCCAGCATCACGCTCCCCCGCCGCTTCAGCTGCTCCGCGCGCTCAGACGTGGGGGAGACTCCCCCCGCGGCTGCTTCGCCTGTGCGCATTTCTGCGCCGGCCGCGTCTCCCCCTGCCCTCTCCGCGTGGCCCGCTAACCCCACCGCTGCTGCGCCGCCAGCTTGCCTCAGCGGGGAGTTTCCCCTCAACGGGAAACTCCCGCCTGGCGCGGAGCTTCCTTGCGCGCCCCCCCGCTCCATCTGCAGTTCCGAAATCCCTATTGCGCGGCCCTGCCGCTTCCCCCCTCCCTGCTGCTGCTGCTGCGCCTGGTGCGCCTGCTGCTGCTGTTGCGCCTGCCATTGCTGCTGCTGTTGCTGCTGCTGCTGCTGCTGCTGCTGCTGCTGCTGCTGCTGCTGCTGCTGCTGCTGCTGCTGCTGCTGCTGCTGCTGCTGCTGCTGCTGCTGCTGCTGCTGCTGCTGCTGCTGCTGCTGCTGCTGCTGCTGCTGCTGCTGCTGCTGCTGCTGCTGCTGCTGCTGCTGCTGCTGCTGCTGCTGCTGCTGCTGCTGCTGCTGCTGCTGCTGCTGCTGCTGCTGCTGCTGCTGCTGCTGCTGCTGCTGCTGCTGCTGCTGCTGCTGCTGCTGCTGCTGCTGCTGCTGCTGCTGCTGCTGCTGCTGCTGCTGCTGCTGCTGCTGCTGCTGCTGCTGCTGTATTGCCGCCGCTACAGCCGCTGCGGCCTCCGCCGTAGCAGCTGCGCCCGCCGTGTCCCCGTCGGCAATCATCTGGGCGGCAGCTAGCAGCCGCGCGTGCAAGTCCTGTACGGCGCGGCTCGCACTGTTCACCGCGCGCACCCCCGCGGGCGAGGAGCTCCTCCGCGGAGAGGCTCCCCGCGGCGTCGCGGGTCCGCTTCCCGCGGAAGCGGCGGCCACGAGCGCTGCTGCGGCGGATGGCGCAATAGGCTGCGTGGGTGTGTGGCGCGGGGAGGGAGGCGGGCGGGAGAAGAAAGCGGGGCGCGGGGAGGAGCTGCCCTCATGCATGTCGGCGGAGAAGTTGTGCTGGAGGAGCGCGGAGGCGGCGGAAGCGGAGGCTGTGCGCCGATGGGCCGGGCGGACCGGCCGGGGGGTGGCGATGGGCGCGCAGGCGCTTGGCGGCCCCGCGCCGCCGCGGGAGGGGGAAATGTGGTCTGGCGCACCGTTACGCGGCGGAGTGGTTTGCGACGCGTGCGGGTTGAGAGGCGCGTGGAGTTGCTTGGGGGAGGGCAGCTGCGCGCGATGCGCGAGGGGCGCGTGCGACGTGCCGCCGTAATCGCCGCGAGGCGAGTGCGACGCGATGACTTGGTCGTAGCTGTCGAGCGACGACGATCGCGGAGATCGATGCGGCGGCACAGCGGACGGCACGGCGGACGGCACGCTCTGTTGGGAGTAAAGCTGCCGCGCTTGCTGCTGTGACTGCTGCTGGAACTGCTGCTCCAAGAACAAGTCGCGCTCTTGCGGATGCTCGTCCCTCTGCTGGCCGTGTTGCGATCGACCATTACTCGGAATCTGTACTTGTAATGAGTCTGCTTCAAGTGAGTCAGGCTGGGGTTCCAACCGATTCGAACCTCCCGTATTAAGCAGCTCAGAGAGCGGAGATGGCGCGATTGCGCGCTGCGAGCCGCCATGCGCGGTAAGCTGTTGGCGGGAGCGCATGGGGGACCGCGGACAGCCCCCGTGCGCCAGAATGAAGGGGTTCACCGGAAGTCCCGCGCCAGTCCCCGCGCCACCTGCCACACCAGCTGGCGAACCCGCACGCTGCGCGGACGGCATTCCGCCGCCCGCCACTGCGCGCGGGGAATTCCGCGGCGCGGGTCCCAGGTACAGTCCGGTGCGCGGATGGTCGGGGGAGATTGTCGGGGAGTCGGTGCCTGTGGCGGGCTGGAAAAGGCGGGGGGAGGGGGAACGGGAGCTCCGCCCCCCATCGGCAGGGGCAAAGCCGCCTTGCGCGGCGGATTCTAGATCCAGCGGAGCGGCGGAAGCGGACGAAGCGTGGGCGGAGGTGGAAGGGGATTGAAATGTGGTCAGTGGACTGAGCGCCCCGCGGTTGCGGCGAGAAAACAGGGAATTCGAGTCCCGCCTGGGAGGCGACGCGGTCTTACTAGGAGTAACATGGTAACCGCTTCGGGGGTCATAGCTGCCTGCGTTGGACGGAACGAGCGGCTCGCAAGAGGTCGGAGACGAGCGAGCGTCGTGGCCTGATGAGGGCGGCAGGGGGGAACGGCGAGGCATGCGGTCCGGGCTGCCGACTTCATCCATTGTGGCGTCAGCAAGGTTAACGACGTTGGGCGGGTCTTGGCGCGGCGAGTGGTACTGCGGCGCGCGGAACTGTGGCTCTATGTCCATGGCTTGGGCTGTGCCGACGGCCGCCATATGCATTCCTGGAGCTAAGCGTGTGTGGAGGACTTAGAATAAACAATAATACCTGTAAGAATATTAAGATGCAACCTATTAGGGAACCACAAAAGGTACGGACAGTGGCGTGCGGTCATAATGGAAGAAGCGTTCAGAAATGCAGAGTGGGCGTTCTGTTTCGCAAGGTTTGAGCTGGCTTGAGGTAGATGGGATGACGGAAACCGTTGACGGCGATCGCGGTTGGCCTCTTGTCTGGTCTGTCCCCGTCCGGTCATTGTGCTTTGGCGGGAAAAATCTGGGGTTGCCATCGAGCCAACTTCAGTGGGAAGCCAGTGGGAGAACGAGGTCACTGAACCAGAGGGTTGGGGACTTGGGGGGGTTGATGCAGCGGGGGTGAAAGGGGCGGGTGGGTGGGTGGAGTGGAATGGAGTGGAGCAGGCAGGAGCAGCAGACAGACCAGAGGTCGTGGTGGAAAATTGGATTCTCTCAATTCAACCAGCTGACCGGATCCAATCTCTGGTTGTTTAGACTCGTCAGGCTTCGTGACAACACGACATGGCACGGCTGACCGCTTGACTGCTGGGAGACTGTGTAACATGAATTCGCCATTTTCGTGAATGCTTGAATGTGTGCTTGCGACAGGTTGCGATGCTAGCCACCTTCACCTTGAACAGGTGGGGGCCACAGTGGCGAGGCGACGCGACGACCATTGCATCCCTACCAGTTTCCGGACCGCGTTTATCCACCCTGAAATTTGAGGAAATGACGGAGCGCCTTGTTTTCTATTTTTGAATTCCAGTAGGCAGTGGTTTTGACAGCGCATTGCTCCGCGCTTGCGCCCAATTCCCACGAGCATTTTGTTCTCTCAATCCTTTTTTACAAGGGCAAAACAATTAAACCCTCTAGGGAAAGGCATGCAAACAAGGGACGCAAAACCCTAAACACCTTGCATCATGGTGTTTAGGGTTGATGCCGCCCATGTTGACATGCCATTTCCGAGAGGGTGTATATTTGTTTGCCCCGAAAAAACAATTGTATTGTATACTAAGAACTAACTGCCCGTGGGAATCGGCCGTGAGCGCGGGACTATGCACTGTCAAAACCACTGCCTATTGGAATTCAAAAATATAAATCAGGACGCTCCGTACTTTCCTCTTTGAATTTGCTTCGAGCGAGTGTCGTAGACTGTTTGTCAAAACGAGGAGGTGTCGTCAGAAACACTGTACCAACTGAGCTGCGCGCCAAACGGCTGTCAACAGTGCCATGGTGCACGGAGGTGGCGAGAACACGAGGAAGGGTTGTGGTTGGTTGCGAATGGCGCTCTCCCAAAGTGATGTCGTCACGTGAAATTGGACCAACGGAAACGGAATCCGCACAGCCGTACAGCACATGGAGATTCACAATTGGGTGCGGAAGCGACGGCTGGTTCTGTAGCCACACTTCTTGCACCCGACCTCGTTCTTCGTTTGGATTGGAACTGTACTGTACCTTGCGTGCACTACAGCACCATCCTCCCTCCCACCTGCGAGGAGTCAGTCAGTCAGGAGGACTCAGGCATGACGGACACCATCGAAGAAATCCAAAGATGCAATAGTCACTCAAGTGTTACGCGTCAAAACGAGCTGTCAGTCAGGATGTGAATGGCATGCATACCCATAAAGATCACATGAGTGGCAAATCCGGCATGATAAATTGTTGAGAATTTCATACTAGTAAGGAAAATTCCTATTCCTTACTTCGCGCCCCTGCTTACCGCGTACATGACCACTCCCGCCATCGGCACCCACAGTGAAACGTTACCCGCTCACAGCACTCGCCTCGGCCACGACTCCCGCCACTGTTCGCGATGCGACCCAACCTAACGGTTCGGTTGGTAACCCGCGCTCCGGACCTCCGCCTCGACAATTCCCAAACCTCGGCACTAGGCCCGTAGCGCACCCCAATTTCCCGCATTACCGTTACCACGCTAGCTTCGCTATATAACTTCGCTCATGCTTTTCCCTCAGCTGTATTGTTTTGCTTCGTTAGTGCAATTCTCGTTCTCTCACTCAATTGCACTCGTAACACTTGGTATTCAGAGCCTACGGTCTTTTCTCGGACCGCACCCACACCTTCGCTTCCCCACTATCACATTTTTTTTGGGGGGGGCGGGGGGGGGGGGGGGGGGGGGGTAGACGTCTCTCAGCGAAACAAGCACCGCCGCTCGTAATGCTCTCTCGTAAGCACGCATGGCCACGACAGAGGCTCTCGCTGAACTTGCCCGATACCCCCGCCATGGCTGAATTCAACATCACGACACTGACGCAGGAGCAAACCGACCGTCTCGTGTGCCAACTCGAAGACTCGACGCTCGAAATTGCGGCGCTCACGACGGAACGCGACTCCGCTCGCCAGCAATCAACGGTGAATGCTCCAGCACCTACACCCGCAAATGCACTTGCGCAATCAGAAGAACCGATGGTCATTTCATCAGGCACACCGACGCAACACGACAGCGTGGGACAGCGCTCAGGCGCAGCCAGTGATGGCGCCGCTCAATCGATGCCTGGCATGGAGAGAAATAGGGCCGCACCAAGCCCGCGTGGGCCTCGCGAAGCTCGTCGGCACGTGGAGTTTGCAGCAACAAGTGGCAGCCACGACATCATGGCACCAATGCTTGTCGGAATAGCAGGCACAAGCTAGAAACAGGAAAGGAGGGGTTTTCACTAGCAGGCAGTTGAGTACATATAGCAAACCCTAATTCGAGCTGTACTCGCTATAGAGTACCCCACTGCAGGCTAGACAAACATCACATTCTGACACACCCCCATAGTCAAAGTGGGGTATAATCAGCACAGCAAGCAGGCGGAGCAGTAGGTTCACAAATACAAGCAAAGCTAGAGGCTATCACAGAGGGCAAGTGAGGAGGAGGAGAAACTGCGGGGGCAAGAAGATGGGAGGCGACGGCTGAAGCTGCAGACACACTGGCAACAGGAGTGCGCAGCACTGTCGCTACCAGGCTAAACCCGGGCTACACGGCGACAGGCGCAGCTGGCTCACTGTGCTCCCAGGAGTGCTCACACTGTGGCTACCGGGCGCAGCGCCCCGGACTACACGGCCACAGGGGGTCGTGGCTCTCTGGACTACCAGGAGTGCTCACACTGTGGCTACCAGGCGCAGAGCCCCGGACTACACGGCCACAGGGGGTCATGGCTCTCTGGACTTCAGGCGCTACAGACGACAAGTCGGCTACCTCCGGTCAACCTCCCCCAACTGTCCCACACCCCTTTCACACACTCCCTGCTGTACCCCTAGCACTGCTCACACGCCACCCCCCTCGTATCACTCCGACAGCTCCAACACATCCACCCCCCTCAGCGGCATCTGCAGCAGTGGGAGACGGAGGAGGAGGAGGAGGAGCAGGAGACGCACACACCCGTCACCCCCATACTCGCCACCCCCACACTCGCCATCCCCAAACCCTAACACAGGCAGCAGCGGGGGGCGGTGCGCGGGCAGCAGCTCGGAGGATGGCGCGCGGCTCGGGCAGCAGCTGGACGGGCCGCGCACGGGCCTGGCACGGGCCGCGCGCGGGCCTGGCGCAGCCCGTACTGTCAAACATTATACATGTTCATATTGTGTAGGCTATAGTGGGTTTAGCCTTAGGGGGTACAACATTGCTAGGGTTTCCTACTTGTATCACCCTGCTGCCTAGTTTCACACATTCTCGTTCAGTTCTACATTCTAACATGGTATCACGAGCCTAGGTTGCTACCTAAGACCGCTTTCTCCTACGGGCCCACTATTCCGCTAGAAGCGCCCTCGTGCGCCCTACCTTACGTGCGCCCTCGTGCGCCTTTCTATACTCGTGCGCCCTCGTGCGCCCTCGTGCGCCCTACCTTACGTGCGCCCTCGTGCGCCCCCGTGCGACCCGCCCTTCGGTCTGCCCGCGTGCCGTCCTGCAGCCCTCGCGCTGCCTCCTGCAAGCTAGTACGGCCCTCGAGCCGCCCCTGCAGGTCCGTCAGGCCCCCGAGCCGCCTCTGCAGACCCGTCAGGCCCCCACGAGCCGCCTCTGCAGGCCCGTCAGGCCCGAAAGCCGCCCCTGTAGCCAGCGCGCTGCCCTGCCGAGCCGCGTGTCGCCCGTGGGCGCTGCCTCTGCCCCGTCGCGCTGCCCTGGGGAGCCGCGCGCGACCCCCGCTGTCCCGTCGCGTCGCCCTGGGGAGCCGCGCTCAGCCCCCGCTGCCCCGTCGCGACGCCCTGGGGAGCCGCGCTCGGCCCCCGCTGCCCTGTCGCGACGTCCTGGGGAGCCGCGCTCGGCCCCCGCTGACCCGTCGCGACGCCCTGGGGAGCCGCGCGCGACCCCCCGCTGCCCCGTCGCGACGCCCTGGGGAGCCGCGCTGGCCCCCCCCCCCCCGCTGCCCCGTCGCGGCGCCTTGGGGAGCCGCGCGCCGCCCCCCCCCCTCGCTGCTGCCCGAGCCACCCTGCAGCCCGCGAGCCGCCTCTGCAGCGCCGAGTGCGCTCTGCCAAACCCTAAAATAAATAATTAATTATTAAAAAAAAAAAAAGGGAGCAGCTGCCCCTGGCCCCTGGAGCAGCCGCCCCTGCAGCAGCCGCCCCTGGCCCCTGGAGCAGCCGCCCCTGCAGCAGCCGCCCCTGCAGTAGCTGCCCCTGCAGCAGCCGCCCCTGGACCTCTGCAGCCGCCCCTGGCCCCTGGAGCAGCCGCCCCTGCAGCTGCCGCGGAGCCCTCGCCCTGCAGTGGTAGCGGCCTCGCCGTTACCACCGTCGTACGCCTGCCCTTCTCGCCACTGGTGAGCACTGCCCTGCCCGTATTGCTGTTACTGCTGCTCCTGCTGCTACTGCTCTTTCTACTTCTACTGCTGCTCCTGGCGTGGCCAGATGCAGCTCCAGAGCCGTCCGCGTGAGTCCCTCACGCCCCAACAGCTTCGTGAGTGGTATGCTGGTTGGGGTTGTAGGGGTGGCCGCGCTGCTGCTACTACTACTGCTGCGACTACTGCTACTGCTGCTCCTGGCAGTGGCCA